CGAGTATAGTTTACTAACGCAACAGATCGCTCGCATCTGACCAATGTCCTATTAGATGAGCTAGAAAGAACTACCAACATCAACTTGTTCTTCAACCACAAGTTCACCGGGGCCGATTTGAAAACAAACCAGGCCTTTTTCCAATTCAGACAGGGCAATCTCAACCTCAAGCATGTGGATGCCTCGTTCGACATGATTATCGGTGCTGATGGCGCCTACTCTGCCACACGATCCCAATTAATGAAACATACTCCGATGGACTACCAGCAGAAGTATGACGATATTCGCTGGTGCGAGATACAGATCACCGACCGAGCAGTGTCAAGTCAACTTTCCCGAAATCACTTACATATATGGCCCGGCCGCGAATCCATGTTCGTCGCGGTTCCCGCCCCCGGTGGTACATTCACGTATACCCTTTTCGCGCCCTCCTCGCACTACACAGCGTTTTTTCAATCACCAGAGGGTGTGGCGGCGTATTTCGACACCCGTTTCCCTGGTGTATCGCCAGATCTCGTGGACCCCGGGTCTCTCCATAAACAGCTCATGGTTAATCCCCACCTTCCGCTAGTAGGGACAAAGTGCTCCCCATATCACAGTGGACACAACGCCGTGATCGTCGGTGATGCTGCTCATGCTGTTCTTCCGTTCTATGGACAGGGCCTCAATGCGGGCATGGAAGATGTTTGTCGACTTTTCGAGCATCTAGATAATCACGGGGTATATCAATGTGCGAGGAGCCAGATAGCAACTGCTCGTGCTTTTGCTTTGGAGGCATACAGTCGTCAGCGAGTTCCTGACGGACATGCGATTCATGATTTATCGCGTGCCAACTACCTGGAGCTGCGTTGGGGGGTCTTGTCCTCTCTGCATCAGCTACGCAAGCGAGTGGAGGAAGCGATTTGCAAGTACTTACCCCAATTAGGCTGGGCGACACAGTATACCCGAGTAAGCTTTACCACCGAGTCATATTCTGCGATTGTTCAAGCGACTGCAAGTCAGGAAAGAGCTCTTATTCTAGCCTCGGTGGTGATTCTTGCTATCATGGTTATACTTGCTTGCTGCTTGTTGATTTAGACAAAGTACTGCATTTTCTCGGCGACCTCTAGTGGTAGTAGCCTCCAGCTGAAGTACACACATCTCGGAAAGAAGAGATGGTTTAATTCGGAGTAAGATATGCAATCGATCTGTCAATCCGGCAAATGGAACTCTCTTTTCTCTGTAACCCCACTCCTCGCAACTCTAATACGAGCTGAGAAACTAGTAACGAACTATGAAATTAGGCTTCCTTAGCATACAAATGTGTCCCACTCCTCAGCGCGATTTGGTTCATGCCACTGTCAGATTTCCTGTTCACCGCTTGTTTTTGCTCTGGTCTTTTCAGAAAATGCTATGCTGTAAATCTTTATTTAACAGTTTCAAGACGTATGTTGTACCGAAAAGGGCCAACGCAGAAAACGACTCGATTTCGACGTACTGCAGCTGGAAGGCACACCCACATCTTTCGGACAGTCCTTGAAACATGGTCCGAGCGTCCGAAGCCTTCCCCTCGTGGGATGAATCTCTAGACTTGAGCAAAATCCTCACTGGCGGTCCACGGAAACTACTCGAAAGCTACTCCCACATTCCTCCGTCCGACGTAGAAAGCCATGTCAAAGCCATCGTGAGTCTCCTTGTGCTCAGCTATTCCCATGCGAACGGATTCTGACATATGTTCACTAGGCTAAAAAAGGCTGGGACATCAGAGACTATCCGTGTTTCCGGATGTTCTGGTTTCTCGACTTTGATTTGTCTCGCTCGCCCCAGTATGCGAGGGTTCTGGAGCTGCTCAAGTCGGGCGCGTTGTTTATTGACCTAGGCTGTGGAATAGGTCAGGATATTCGCCGTCTTGTCTATGATGGCGTTCCTGGACAGAATCTCATTGGGCTTGATCTGTATGGCGGGTTTGTTGATCTGGGGTTCGAACTGTTCCGGGACAGGGAGTCGCTGGGGGCTTCGTTTCTCATCCAGAGCTTTTTCGATGATACGGCCCTCTTACGGCAGGTGATGGGCAAGATTTCGGTCATCAACTCCGGGTACTTTATGCATCTCTGGGACTGGGACGGACAGATCAGAATCGGGAGGAGGATGATGGAGTTGCTGCCGACTGCAGGGGGGCTTGTGACGGGAGTCCATTTTGGTAGCAAAAGATCGGGGAGATGGATTCCTTATGGGGGGAAGGAGATGTTTCTCCATGATACTGATACGCTAACTGCTATGTGGACTGAGATTGGGGAAATATCTGGTGTTCGGTTAGATGTAGAAGCTGTCAGGCAGGAGGACGTAAAGTGCAAATACTATGATCCAGACGGGTTCATTATAAGGTGGGTGGTGCAAGTTGAGAGTCGTGCGAGCTGCTAGCGCAACCTCTTCTGTAATCAAGAAAGACAGATGGAGCTTCAAATTCAAATCATATCCACTGTCACTGCTTCGGGAGAATAAAGTATTGGCCCATTAAGATAGCACATCTTTAAATCTTACATATAAAAACAATTTTAACTCTCTTATCAAAATTTTAATTATAGATTGTCTCGTTTTATACTCAGTTTGAATTCTCATGAGAGGTCAAGTGTATAAGCTGTATGTCAGGGCTTTAGAAGTCATGTGGATAGTCATGAGGCAGTTGGAGCTGGCATCTCTCAATTTGCACCACCTTGCTGCTATCGTTCAATTATTTGATATCTCACTATTCATTTACGTATACCATCTACAAGGTGAAATGAGTGGTTGTATCATTCACTTGGTCTGATGGAGAATACGAGGCACTCAACTACTTGATATAACCATTGATTTGTCCAGTATCACTTTTCTACTCGCTAAATGCCCTATTCCTTCCAAATATGGCTTCTTCTGCTAAAATATACATCCTATATAGGCTACCTTCTCTCCAATACCATCTGAAACATCTCCTCAGTACGCTCCCAAACCTTCTTCCCAACACCACTACTATGATACCCATCAAGAAGCCTCCGATTCCCAACCTCAGACCCATCCCAGTGCAACAAATAAGCACCACGTTGGCACTCTTCCGGATGAACCCTACTTTTCCCGGTGACCATCGAACCCGGAGAAAACCGTTCATTCGTCGCAACATACAGATGTCTCTCCCCACTCTCCTGCTGAGCCACCATCCACGGCCGGCCGATAACCATCGCAGCCCTAACAAGGGGGCCTAAAATGGGGCCCGCTTCCCGAGAGATACCCGATTTCACAATCCCAGGATACGTATGTATGAAGGTTGTAGACGGATATCGGGATGCGAGCTCTTCTACCATCAATGAAGACATTGTTGTCGCGTGTACATCGCAGCTATTGAGGCTGTATTTGTGCTTTAGGTCAAGGTCATCCAAATTGAACTCCGTTTCGTGGCCTGCACCTAGGACAGTTATAACACGGGAGAGAGCGGTGTGATGGTCTTTGTGGCTAGCGGCCTGTGATATCTGGGGCATTAGGTTCTTGATGAAGCGCATTCGGGCGTAGTAGTGGAGGCTGAATTTCTTATCCAGGCCTTCAGATGTTTCTGAAATGTGTTAGAGACCTATCCTCGCCAAGGGGACAAGGCATTCTGTAACCTGTATGTCAGAAGCAAAATGAACTTACCATCTCTGCCCTTTAAAGTGAATATACCACAGCTTAAAAACAAAAGGTTAATGCGACTTTCTCTCTGCTGAATATGCTCACATGCAGAGTCCACCCCACGGAGCAGCGACGCGTCCGTCTTGATGAACTGAAATTTGCCGGTCGGATTTATCAGGGTCAATTCCTGAATAACCTTCCTTGCTTGTGTCTCGTTGCGTCCAACAAGATAGATAGTCGGGGAAACGGTGTAGCGAGCGAATTCACGCGCTGTGTACAGGCCGATTCCACTTGTTCCGCCCACTTGAGAGTGTTTAATATGGTGATATTGATGGTAAATGCCATTTCAGACAATAAAAGTGTTGAATGCAGTTCTAGACATACCAAATACAGCAACAAGTCCAGATCCCAGACCTTTCAACGACGCATTGTGGGCACGAACAGTTGAGAGCGATACCATATCGTCTATGTCTTCTGGTGGTTGTACCACCTTCGGGATCCTAGTGTAGCTTATGTTCACCTCAGCTTTCCTGGTGTCGAAACAAGTCCTGTGAGGCAAGCTTACTTTTTTATCTTCCACGACCTAGAGTCGACGGTCGCTCGTCGAAGGTTTGGGCAGAGAGCTTTTCGAGCATAGGGATTGTTGCTTTGGTACGCAGTGACCTCTACCGTGGATCTGATGCAATTTAGGGTACAGTCTGGGCCGTTGAGATACTGGCTGCCAATATTCCGAGCCCAGCATAAGCATAGCTTTCAGATTATCGTTGGCGAGGGCCGGGGAAGCGGGTACCGGATCACCGTCGGATAGTTTGTTCCCCCGAACGCAATCCGTAGAGTTTGATTAAACTCTAGGGAAATGGGTCTAACCCTAAGTCCACTGTCGCATCTGCTGTTGTTCATCAAATAGTGCTGCATGGTGCTAGACTGTCACCGTCCAAGGTGGCCCACAATAACTCTTATAAATAGATTGTGTGATAGTACGTTTAACATCATTGCGCATGTGGTCAGGTTGTAATATCACTTATGGATGGGGAACTGTTAACGAATATAGACACTTATAGAGGTTTCCTTACCCCCATAGTTCTGGGTCAAGTTCTAATAACAAGCTGCTACGCATCGTATAAACCGCAGATCTAGTGTGTGTTTCGACCACTTCCAAGCAGGAATGCAGGTTGACACTGAGTCAAGACCTGATCTTCAAAGCCACAAAGTATCTCGTAACTACCAACCTAGGACTGGTTTTGTCAGCATGACACCAAAGCGGGGTTGAATATAGCGCCACGTCAGCTCAAGGGCTACCTTCACTGAACAGGTATTAGATCAGAGAACTGCACCCCTGCCGTGTACCAATAACGCCGAAAAAACACATACCAAACTCAGTGAAAATGAAGGCATGGCTATACAACTCCACCAAGGGAGGCTTAGAGAAGAACCTCATCTTCTCGCCTGACGCCCGAAACCCAGGGTCCCCACAGGGCGACCAGCTGCTCATCCAGGTGATCTCCACAGCCATCAACCCAGCCGACTACAAGGCGCCTGCCATGAGTACTGTTTGCGGGAAAGTTCTAATTGCAACTACACCCGCCAGCCCCGGAATGGACTTCTGCGGGCGGGTCATCACTATGGGGACAGATACTTCTGCACGGCAGTTCACTCCGGGCCAACTTGTCTTCGGCTGTCTTGGCATGCCACGGCAGTTTGGAACGCTTGGAGAATTAATACTCGCAAGTGCAACCAGTATTGCTCCTTTGCCGGTAGGAGTGGATCCAGATGCGGCTGCTACCATTGGGGTTGCGGGGCGGTCGTCGTACCAATCTATCGTGCCGTATATATCGACTCCAGGGAACAGGGTGTTCATCAACGGTGGGTCTGGGGGCTGTGGTGTTTATGGCATCCAGATTGCGAAGTTTCTGGGGTGTCATGTTACAGTGACTTGTTCTACACGCAATGTACAGTTCTGTCGTGACCTTGGTGCGGACGAGGTGATCGATTATACGACACAGGATGTTTTGAAGGAACTCAAGTCACAGGGACAGGTGTTCGATCATGTTGTGGATCACATTGGATTGCCTGAGGGTCTTTATGAAGAATGTCACAAGTTTTTGAAACCTGGGAAAGTGTTTGTCCAGGTTGGAGCCTCATCGATGCTGACGTTCGCCCACCGGCTTATCCGCCCCGCGTTTCTTGGTGGCGGTAAGAGGAAATACGTGGCATTGCTTATGAAGAACCATAAGGATGAGTTGGTCCAGATTGCGGACTGGATCCAAGAGGGAAAGATCCGGGTTGAGCTTGACACGGTATGTGAATTTGAGGATACCGTCAAAGCATTTGAGCGACTACGTTCGGGGAGGACAAGAGGCAAGATTGTCATCCACGTCACAAGCCTTGATAGTGAGGCTGCCTAAAGACTGATATGCTCTTCCACAATGACATTTTGTCTCCAGTTTAGTCTTGATTATAATCTTTCTCCCAAACTTAATACCTCATAATATTATATGCCATTTAGAAATGGGTATTCAAGCAACAGATATAAATAAACTGAGAACAGCAGACAAACGGGGGCGTATCAATACACATGCCGAGATGCAAATATTCTACACACATTTCCCAACGCCAATTGCCTGGTGGAAGGCCGTATATACCAGAATCAAGGTGCATGAGTAGCATACCCAGTAGCCATACGTTGAATCTGTCCGGCGTAAAATTGCTGCATACAGTCAGAAGAATTCCGACAAAGTGAGGACTGACATACCGTTTCTGCACCTCCACCCAGCACTCTGATCTGGAAGATCCTCGCCCATAGAGGGGTCGGTACCTTTCCTAGAACAACGTTTGCTTCATCGTCTGTATACTTATCATCCATCATTAATTCGGGGAAATTGGGACAAACAACTGCCGGGCGCCCGACGCCGACAATGTCACACGCTCCACCCTTTAAAGCGGCTTGGATACCTCTCCGACTACGGAAGCCTCCAGTAAGCATAAGGATGAGGCCTGGGAAGCGTTTCCTTGTCTCCTTCGCGAAGTCCAAGAAGAACGCCTCTCTTGCTGCTGTACGCTGGACACTCTTGGTTGCAGTCTCTTCCTGTAGGCCACGACCCATCATCTATAATATCAGATAAACTTAGCCTGTTATCCTCCATAAATATGATGGCCATTATTCATGGCAGAATAATTAATAATAGCAAGCATCCCAACAAGAAATTACAGTCAAAGTGATGCTGGAATGCTAACATACCGTTGGGTCCTCATATGTTCCTCCCGATACCTCAAGAAAATCTATTCCAGACTCTGCGAAGAGGCCAATCTGTGTCATAGTGTCCTCAAAGTCAGACGCGCTATGGTCCGCAGAGTTGAGCTTGAGTCCGATGCAGAAGTTCTCAGGCACCACGGCACGGGTTTCTTTGATGATGTCAAGAACGATACGAGCGCGTCTTTCAGGACTACCACCGTACTTATCATGGCGTATATTACTCTTCAATGTTGAACCACGTCAGTTATATAAATGCGGACAGCCTCTGGACGTATAATTTGTAAAGAAAGCTTACCTTCGGGGACAAAAATTGTGCTATTATTTGAACCCCAGTCAGAGAATGTGACAAACTCAGATGACAAATGATCCCAAGAAGTGAAGGACTTACACAAAAGATAACCATGAGCAGCATGGAGCTCAACACCTGCAAAACCGCATTCTGCCAAGAACCGGGCAGAGTTCACGAATTTCTGAACTACACCCTCAATATCTGAAACGGTCATTTCTCTGGGAACACCAAAAGCGATATTCCTGAGGATGGACGCCGTACAGCCAGTTCCTATTTGGAGCGGAATCGGGCTGGGTGCGACAGGCGTCCCAAATACACCGCGTTCGCCTGCACCTCTCGGGGACTGGCGGCCAGGGTGGCAAATCTGAGCGATGGCTGGAGTGCCCTGCTCCTGGCAAGCTGCCGCATATTGCTTCCAAGAACGTAGTTGATCTTCTCTCACGCCGGATTCACGGACTACCAAGTCATAATAGTTTCCTAGATCACGTGGATCAACCTGGATGTTTCCTGTTCGAAATGTCAGCTTTCAGTTTGACTTTCTTAGGGACATTTGAATCTTTCTTTACCGGTCAGCAGGCCACCCCATTTGCCTTTGCCCCATTCGCCGTAAGCCCGTGTGAACTTCTGGTCAGGCACGCGGCTCTTATCGGCCATAGCCTCAGCCATAGCAGCCTACATAAAGGATATGAGCTCATGTCCTGCCACATCCAAGGCCAGGTGGAAGACTTCATCTCTACCTTCACTAATCGATTCTGCAGCACCAGGCCACATGGCAGTGTGATTGGTTGGTTGATATCCGATGTCATCTTTCAGAATTGCTCCAGTATAAGGCCAGGGTCGAGCAGTTGCCTCTTTCCCTCGCAGTGAAATAAGTCCAGCAGGTTCATTCGTCTTTTTTATTATCATATTTTACATATTGAGTAAATAAATTAAAGCATTGTCCGCAATCTCAGGGGTCGGATAAACTATGTGGAGGCCTCTAGTTTGGCCCAGATTATCACACGGAATGTGTGCTCGGGTTCGGTGCAACTTCTCGCCCGTAAGGGGTCATTTCAAGGCCTAGTTGGCAGGCCATTAAGACTCTTACATCGGGTATCGGATATCTATCGTAATGGATGGGTTGTTGGTCAGCTGGATCAAAATGTGGTGAGTCAAAGGTGATGCCAGCTGTATGATTCCATCTATACTGCTAGCACTTCATTCGTGGCGGGCGATGCTAGTTTCCTTTTGGTTAGACTTGCGAGGAGTGGAGCGACGAGTACCCACAACGAGCTCAATTAGTGGGATTTGGAGGAATTATTGTCCCGGCGCTAAAGCATCCAGGCGCCAAGCCTAATGTTAGCCCTAACTAGGGTATTATTTTTAATAAAGTCAACAACAAAATTGCCTAACATTGTCCGCAAGAATCATTGTACATCGCTTCAGCATAATGACCTTTAAAGAAGAATATGGAAGTTACGTTGTCAGCATAAATTGACCGTCGCGGTAGTGGATTGCATTGTACCGCAGAATTACGAGCCTTCCGTCTATATTTAAAACAAAATATTCTCGGGCTGTAGAGTATAACTATTATTGTATCCGTATCCTCTTAACCTTTCGTCTGGGCAGGGGTTCTCCAGTGATGAATCCTATCACCTGAGAAACAACCATGGCACAGATTCCAGGCACACAGGTATCAAAGCTCTCAAGATCGCCGCCACCTGTCTCGTCCCTGAACAGTCCCATCCGCCGCCCCCTGTGATCCTCATGGGCCATGGATTTGGTACGGTTAAAACAGCGGGCCTGTTCCCCTTTCAGAAAAATGCGTGGACGCCGGGTACGTCGCGGTGATCTTTGATTATCTCTTCCTTTGGGGAAAGCGATCGTTAACCAAGGAATCAACTCTCAATCTCTCGGGAGCTACAGGACCTTCTGGATGTCATCACATGAATCAGAGGACAAACGTGTAAATGGGAAACCGATCATATTATACTTTGGGGAGCTAGGTTGGCGGAATGCATGTTACGGCGCTAATTGCTGAAGATCATGACCTTATTGTCAGGAGTATGCAAGCGCCATGTGTTGATGGCTTGGCAACATCTCTGCAGGTACCCGTGCTGCAAGCCTTGCGGGTGATGCCTTTATACGTTTCTAACTGATTAGTACCCTTGTTATCATCTAGCAGTGGGTGATGGGAATAATGTATCTTCATAGACTATGATGTCCGGATCTGAGGCAAGAGCGTATGGAGCAACACAGAGCTTGGAGCGGAGTTTGTGAATAAAGTTATAGCCCGCACTACTCTTACAATTTTCTCTGCCGGCCGATTAAAGAAATCGCATCGCACCATGAAGCCACTCCTGGTGGTAGTGACCACATGGGGTGGTGAGGTGTCTTTACACAAGACTAAACAGAGAGTGCGGCTTGCACCTCTTGGAGGATCCAGGGTTCCTGGTGGGCATTTCGGTCTCTACGCAGGAGGTGATGCCTTCAAAGACAATATTAAGAGACATCTACGGTTCCTTTACAAGGTCCTGGCTTAGTCTTGATACCGTTAGCATTGCTACTGGAGTTTCATTTTAATATTTCATTTAGATACGGCTTACTGATCGTGAATATTTAATTGGGGCAGAGTACCGTGAAAAATGACGGGGTCTTGCCCAAAGTTTACCCCACGCGGCTGCCCTTTATCCAGACCCTCATATTATATCTGTCAGAGTTGAGATCGGTTGTGGTCAAATTATCTACTGTCTGGTCAAATTGGTGAGCATTTAATTGGGTATTTAGGCGGGCTTGAATCTGGCCCCACCGATGATCAGGGTCCAGAATAGAAGCCGTTGCGAGTCTATTTTGCCACGAGGAGTCGGATGAACTGACGCACCCGACGAATGACTACTCCGTACGTAAAGACTGATCGTATCCACCCTTGATTCTGCGGGGGAAATTTGCCCTCCATTGATGATCATTCAGTATTATAAAACCAAGCTACCTTTGTTCGATAAAGTCACTATCTTTGCTTTCCCAAGCATTTACCACTCTTCCTGGCCTAACCGTCGGCATCCGCTAGCAACGGCCGCGAACCACAACTAATTTATTGACTATCTGGCTGGCCTAACCGACCTAAATTGAAGATGTCTGCTACAATCCCAGATTCAATGCAAGCCCTGGTGGGAAACCGATTAGCGGCCGCGCGACTGGCCAACTATGTCTGGGGTAAGCCCTGCGGAGACGGAGCGAAGGTGCAAACAGTTCCCACCCCAACCATATCAGACACAGAAATCCTCGTGCGCGTCAAAGCGGTCGCCCTGAATCCCACAGACTTCAAACATGTGGATCTTCTCGCGGCGAAAGGGGCCATCATCGGCTGTGACTTTGCCGGAACGGTTGCCAAGGTGGGATCGAAAGCTCCCGGCAACTGGGAGGTTGGCGACCGGGCAGCAGGCTGGGTGCACGGTGGCTTGTACTACGACCGTGGCTCGTTCGCTGAGTTTCTGAGTCCCGGGACCTGGCTTGGAAGATTCCCCCCACTGTCACCGACGAAGCAGCAAGTACCTATGGCGTGTCTGCCGTCACCGCGGTGCTGGCTCTCAATGCGCGCCTGGATGTTCCATGGGTGGATGGAGGCCCCGAAGGAGGACATCGTGACTCACCTGTGTTTATATATGCGGGCGCAACGAGTGCCGGTCTCTACGCCATTCAAGTAGCCAAGCTGGCCGGCTTGAAGGTCGTAACCACGGCATCTCCACGGTCGCATGACTTGGTAAAGCAGTATGGGGCAGACGATGTGTTTGATTACCGATCGCCAACCGCAGCAGATGAGATTGCCAGAGCATATCCACAGATGAGCCGAGCTTTGGACTGTTTTTCCGAAGGCGGGTCGACGGACTTTTGCATTAAGGTTGTCCAGAAGGCGAAGGGCAAGGTGGTTACTTTGTTAGACAGAGGCAAGACTACCGACGCAGGGGTAGAAGTCGACTTTCTTCTCGGGTATGGGGCGTTTAATCTTCCATACCAGTGGATGCCTCCAGTCGGCCCTCGATTTTCGGCCAACCCGTCCGACAACGCCGCTCTACGTCGGTTTTATGCATCGTTGCATGACGCCTGCCATCAACTGCGACCACCGCCTCTCAAGAACATCGAGGGTGGGCTGCACCATCTCAATGAAGGTCTCGATCTCCTTCGCAAGGGACAGGTTGCCGGTACCAAGTTGGTGGCACGTCTGGGGTAACGCTCTATCCCAGTTATGCACGTCAGTGTGTGGTGCAAACGTGAATTCTTGTGTATATATATGATTTGATGTTCGTTAAGCGGTAATGTAAGCAAATCTGAATGATAGATCTACCAATAGTATTTCTACACCTTGAAGGTGACAGTATCACTAACATGCCTACATTTTCAATTTCTCTTTATTTATCTAAGAAGGTGTGATCACTAGAAAGTAGGAAGGCTTCATCTTATGGAATTGTCACTATACAGAATAACACAGCTTACATGCTTATTAACTAAGCCCCTGGAACCTTATCATCCACTTTTCATCTCTCCAGTCCACAGAATCCAGATCTACATTCCAGTCGCCACCGTAGATGAGGGACAACCACACGGATAGATTATTGACCCGCAGACCACCTCCAGAAAGGAATAGCTTACGATTAAAGCCCTACTTTCCGATGATTAACTTTATCCCAGCACCCAAGAAGCTTGATACCCCATCGCCCGAAGTTAATCCATGATCTAATGGTTGTCGTTGAGTCTACGTCATGACGCCCAAAAATACGGACAAAAGTTTATGGCGGCGGGCGAGATCCAGCGGAGAACAATTCTGACGTAGGTATGTGCAACGACGGTTACTACTTAAATGTCTTCCTGCTGCAATGTCCATTCCAAGGTGCAATTTGTGAGACCTTGGATTCTACCGTTAGCCCTTTACTAGCCTACCTTGATCAAATTATATATTGAACACCATGCCGTACCTCAAACTCCGAGATGGAGCCCAGCTTTACTATAAGGATTGGGGCAATCCAGAGGGCGCCATAGTCACCTTCTCTCATGGCTGGCCGCTCAGCAGCGACAACTGGGAGAATCAGATGTTTTTCCTAGCCGAGCATGGCTACCGTGTCATTGGACACGACCGACGGGGTCATGGACGATCGACCCAGACCTGGGACGGGAACAACATGGAGACATTTGTGGATGACCTGCAGGAGCTATTCGAGCATCTCGACATCAAAGATGCCATGATGGTTGGGCATTCCCATGGTGGAGGAGAAGTGACGCGCTTTCTGGGCAAGCATGGTACCAGCCGCGTCAAGAAAGCCGTGCTCGTTGGAGCCGTGCCACCCCTGATGCTCAAGACCGCAGCAAACCCAGAGGGAACAGACAAGTCCGTCTTTGACGGCTTTCGCCAAGCATTCCTTCAGGACCGAGCGCAATTCTTTTTACAAGTTGCCACCGATCCATTCTTTGGTTTCAACCGCGCCGGGGTCCAGAAAAGCGAGGGCCAAATTCGGAGCTGGTGGCAGCAGGGCATGAACACTAGCTTTAAGACGGCGCACGATGCGATCAAGGACTTTTCGGAGACAGACTTCACGGAGGATCTAAAACGAATTGATATTCCTGTCCTGGTCCTCCATGGCGACGATGACCAAGTGGTTCCCATTCAGGCATCCGGATATAAATCTGTGAAGCTTTTAAAACATGGAACGCTAAAGGTCTACCCTGGAGGGTCTCACGCCATCCACAACATTAACGTCGCTGAAGTTAACCAAGACCTCCTCAACTTCTTGGAGTCATAAATGGGATAATCATACCTGGCTTTTGTGTGGTGGCATCCGGAAAGGCATCACTCACTTGTAATGGATTTTGTGTAATTATTCATTGCACCATCCCTAGTTGGATTGAAAATAGTAATTCGACTCGCAGAAGTTCATGATTTTCTATGCTCCCTTAATCCTGTGCGCTACTGTGTGCCACTCGATCGTCTAAAGCTACGATGTTTCAGCGCTACTGTAGGTCGATCAGTTTCTGAATTCTCAGGAAGATCTATTACGGTTGCATGAGTAAATAGCCCGTGACGCTCAGTCGGCTTTTATCGAAGTGAACTCCAATAGTAAGAAATCTTAGAATTACTCGAAGTGGGCGATACGACAGGCTATGCGCCCAAGAGTCTTTGTGAATCACCCTACCAAATTGAAATCTGGGGAATATGGTAGTAGATATCCGAGTTGTGTCCCTTTTCCAGAGCATACATGCTATGGCCGCCCAGAGAGATAAAAAGCAAGGCTTAGTCAAACTTCAGGGAAAGAAGTGGTCATTTAATGAAGCAAAGAGCGGTTATAGCTCTCCGGGCTAATAGCTTGTTTTGAATAGAGGCTGAAATAAGCATAGTAAACAGAAGGTATTCCATACACAATCACTTTAGTACGTCTTAACGATCATCTAGTAGATACAGAATCTCAAGTATTGACGAAGAATAGAATATAGAAAGTAGAATGGAAAAGAACAATCCAAACCTTTCTTTGAACTGGAACCACCATTAATCCCCCTTTTCTCTTACTTCAACGCGCACTGCATGCTCACTCGTCGCCCAAATAGGAAGTCCAACCAGCCTGATATGAACGAATATGGGCTAGAGCCACATCACTCCTCCATCAAATTCTTAAACAAGTCATCCCAGAACCCCGAAATATCCTCTGCGACCACATAATCGCACTCATTGATTTGCTCCCTTAACGTGTCAAGAATACATTTTCGTGCCTCAAAACCCCATGGAGATGACTTCCAGGGGGCGTCTCTCAGGTCCTGTACCACAGCCACCACCATCCCAAGCACCATCGCCAAGCTATCCAACGACCATGCAACTGTATTATGCCAAGGGCAGTCATATAGATAGAAACCGGCTCCAGCGTACCGGCGATAATCTGGTTCATAAAGCCACACATCACCGTCCACCCCGTCCACCATTACCATGCAGTCATCGACAGTTCCAAAATGGAAATAGATGTCAGTGCACTGAGCTAGCGGACAGGATGGGGTGTGATGCATTTCAAGTTCATTGTCGTCGGTAAGAACGTAATGTTTCAGACTACTATTTGCATGTTGTGCTAGGTGTGTAGATTCGAAAGGTATGCCGTGTAGCTTGAAGGCAGGGAAGCCAACATTTAAAAGAAACTCTCGAGTACGATCATGGTCCAGGCCAACAGGATTGTCTGTGGGCCTCCATAGCGTGTTTGCCCCAAAGCAAGCTTCCAGCCAGGCTCGGTTTGGTGCTGCAGCACTAAACATATTGTTCTACATTGATGTATGATGGTCAGTATGTTTAAGTATATAGTTCAAGTTTTGAGGGGTCAAGGCATACTAGGATTGATCGCAAGATCTTGCCTCGGTTATGAGGAACACTGAAGACATTGTAGGCGTACTGGCATGATTGTGAGAAGTAATAAGCATCACTTGTCAAATCCAGGCGCTGGTAAACCAATAAAATAATCTCCGAGGGAAGATCCAGAAGCCCCATTCTTTCTCGCCTCGTATTTCGTGCACAGCCTGGAGATTGTGTTGCAAGAACCACTGCTTAGACCTCTCAAGCTGTAAAAGTCCAGTTGAGTCATGCCAAGACACAAGGACTAACCACTTCTAAAACCGGCTCTTTTACAGTATGCGCAGGCGAACAGGATCAGAGTGGGGAGGATTGAAGTCGTCCATTTTTGGAATAGAGATTTCTTGGACTTAATAGGACTGACTTCGTTTCTGGAAAAAAGAAATAGGTTCATGACACTGATGAGCAACCACCAAAGAATAGAGTACCAAAGATGTGTTCTGTCCAGTTAAATCATAGGTGCCCTTTTAAGATCGGTATTTCCTGGGCTTGAGATAAAGCATTTAGATATCACCACTTGTTGCTCTACATTGTGTCACGATTTCCCCTACGATAATCAAAGGAGATAGGGTATATTCTATCATAGAGTCAAATTTGAAGCAACCAGCCAAGAGATGGGGTGATAGCTCAGTTGGGAGAGCGCACGACTGAAGTTTCAACTCAGTCACCACCTGGTAATCGTGAGGTCGCTGGTTCGATCCCGGCTCGCCCCATTATTTTTTTCTGTGTTCTTTCTATTGGTTATTTATGTTTTCTTGGGTTAAGAAATATGGTCACATACAACACATAGTAAAGTACTTGTACGGCTGTAGGTCGTAGTGAATCACTTCCTGCAAGGCTATGAAAGAACTTGTCAAGATATGGACCGGAAAGATCATTGATCAACCCGAAATGTAGATCTAATAATGGGTTCTCTATTTAGCTTAGTGTCTTGTTGAAATATTTTGTAATAGTCCGCTCGTTGGAGATTGTCGGCGGTTTCTTGTGCCATCGTCATTGCATACGCGAGTTCCTCCGTGATGATTTTCTTCTGTTCGGAAGTGCACTTGCTTCCATCCTCTTCAACCCAACGTGTGTAGATTTCAGGAGTAGACACATTGTCCATGAAGTGTGGGAACACAGCTCTCGCATGAACCTGGTGAATGGCCGTAAAGGCTGCCACTATGGCAAGCCATGGAATCCACTTCATCATGACGAAGATGCGGGTGTAAGTTTTCTTTCATGGAGGCAGAGGCTGGGACTACGGCGCTCTGTATAGCTCCTTTGAAGCCGATTATCTACCTATATTTTACCAGGCGCAGAATCCAATCTGTTATATTCTGTGACTCGTGTTCATAATCAATTATAGCTTGATTAGAGCATACCTTGTTTCAAACTTGAAGAAATTACGAAAAGGCCCCGTAAGTCTCACTAAGCTCGCCGTAAACATCAAACTCCTCGTTTCATTAGGGAAGGGCTGGGAAAGGATGAACTCGCTATAGTCGGAACAACCAGAGATTATGCTTGTCGGAATAGTAAATGCAGAAGAATTACCCAGATTTGGGGGATTGTAGCGCGTTTGGTCGATAGTTAGAAGAATCAGATCAACATCAAAAGCAGATATATATTTGGTTGCAGGATAGTCATGCCCCTTAATAGCTAATAGAAGCTATCTAAGGGCGCCTTCTTGAATATCAAACGCTTCTACGGCTGATTGCATATCATTCTATGTGATGGCACCCGTCCGATATTGCAAGGCGTGGGGCGCTTCATCAGTGAAGAATACAGATTAAACAGAGGAAGACCATGTCCCCAGTCCTATGGTACCATAATTTAGGGGCATTAGTGTCTTTGGTGTCAGGCGACTTTGTGGGCCTAGGAACTCCTCTCACTCTATTCTTTTTTCCTTTCCTCTTTGTGTTATCTTACACCAATATCATGACTGATAGTATGGCAGAATGAAAAGAAAACAAGATATCGTTATAACAATAAGCACGACAACAGTTCTCAAAGAGGATCATGTTAGGTAGGCATTCGTTGGGATATCTAATGATAGCGGCAGACAAACATTTAACAACCATCATGCTGGATAATGGAGGAAATAATAGTGAATATAGAAAGTACATGTTTCTTATTGGGTGTCAAAAGGAAATACGCTACATGTAAACTTCCTACTCGTCTTCAGCCAGACCTGTATGCATTGTTTCTCAGCAGCAGTGTAGTCACAGTTCCTTTATTCAACGGTAAGGGCAAACAACTTGAATACATAAACACGCGCCGTGCTTAGTTCACTTTCTGTATCTGACCTAAGGAGCAAGTGACAACCTGTAACCCTTCAACCAGATGGCACGATGCAACTTAACATACCCATGCTGACTTGTTTAGAATAAGCCCATACTCAATGTTCTCTAGGAACTAGGACTTTTCCGTTAACCCATTCAACTGATGTTACAGGGTGCGGTTGTTTCTTGATCTTATAATCAAAACTTATAATGAAAGGTACAAAGGAGATGAATGATACCTCAATTCCCCACTACTAGTGACGGAATAGTACTAGGGATGAACTCCACAACAGTACAGAGAGAGATTCTCTCGAAGGCCCTAGTCCTGATTGCTTTCTATTACGAACTTCGTACTCCGTAGTCTAGAGGCGATTGTGATAAGGTTGAGGCCCACTAAAGTGGATAAAGAACGAAGGTCCGGTCCGTTACGGGCAACCGAGGGGCGATGCAAATTTCTCATTATTGAATCTCCAAGACCCTTGTTCTGTTCCGATCTCGCGGATGTACCATGGTGATCATTCCAGCCCCCCTTATATCTCTTTAGGGCCGCTTAGGCTGCGCGATTGTGACAGTCGGAGTCCAGGTGCGATATCACTCGAATCATTAGGCGTCCACATCACAGATATCTGGAAATGGGAAAGGAACAAAACATCACGACTACGCGGGTTGAGATTGGAGACTCTCTTTAACTGTGATTATACCGAATATTCGGTGTTCCGCGGCAGTGTCTTCAATTCTCGGTCTCATGTAGCCTTGAGACGAGGTAGACCTGGTGGGAAAATTAGGTATGTTAAGTTTCGCTCGTTGGCTTTATACATTATCCACAGAAAGGGTCAACTACCACCATCTATAAACTAGTAGGTATACTTATATCTCGGATGTCTATCCCCCAACTTGTCCAACTGCTCCTCATACGGCAAGTCTTCGACTCCCCTCAACAATCCCACTGGATCACTCTGTTTCCTGCGATTCAACATCCGCAACAAACCAATCTGCGCCACCACAAGCGCCATCGCAATCACCGTCAAGGAGAGATTGAACCGCGACCCCAGCTCAAAGTACGGTGCAGACTTCTCAGGGTAGATCCAGGTGCTCATGATCCCGCCGCAATTCGTCGCAATGAACGCCATGGCCACGGCAGTTGCGCGCCGTACATGGCCGGCCGTGTTATTGGGTACCCAGCTAATCAAACAAGGGGCGCACGCATACACGCCAGTGAGGAGGAGCACCAGGGCAGCGTAGCGAACGCCGACGCTGCGGCCATTGATGGCCAATGCTGCACCGATTAAAGCAATGCCGCTGGTAACGAAGGCCCCGATGCCGCGCTGCTGGTACCGGTCAGAGAAGTAGGCAGTTACCATGGTCACGACGAATCCGCAGGCGTACGGTGGCACGGTCATGAGCTGCGTCTTGGTGGAGCTGTACCCGAGTGCCTGCACAATGGATGGTGAGAAGTATGCGAGACCGAAGAGACACGCGCCGTTGCAGAAGAGGATGAGACATGCGATCCACACATGCATGTCCTTCAGGACGGATATGACTTCTTTGAAGGAGACCTTGGTTTCAGTCTCGAATTTGTTACCGTCTTGTTGCAGCCGCGCGATGCATCGCTCCGCGTGCTCGGGGCGGAATGTGATCACCTTTTCCGGGCCGTTGGGTAGCACTAGGAAGGAGAAGAGACCGAAGCAGACTGTGAAGAGGCCTTCAAGCAGGAAAATCCACTGCCATCCCTTCATTCCCCGCAGGCCGTTCATCTGCTGGATGGCGGCAGCCAACAGACCTGAGAAGGCACCACTCAGGGAAGCGGCGGAGAAGAAGAGCGCGATGCGGACCTGCAGCTCGTGGCGGCGGTAGAAGTTGGACAGAAACAGCACGATGCCAGGAAAGAGGCCTCCTTCGAGAAGGCCCAGAAAGAATCGACAGGCGAGGAAGCCGGAGTAGTTGTGCACTTGAGATTGGAGTGTTGTGACCAGACCCCAGAGGGTGCACAATGTAGGTAGGAGGATACGAGGGCCAATGATCTTCAGCAGGAGATTGGAGGGGAGTTCGGAGATCACGTAAGGAACATAGGTCACGGTAATAGCTGAGCAGTTAGTGTGGAACAGGCGAGATTAACTGGAAATATGTACCTGTTTTGTATTGTAGATCAGTCAAATTCAAGTCTTTTTGCAGACCGGCCTATAGTCCTATGGTTAGCAGGGTATTATATGTCAAGCTAACTGATTGAACTCACCACTCGTGCATTTCCAACATTTGCACGATCCAGCCAAGCCAGAAGATAGAACATGAGTGTCATCGGCATCAGCACCATGTCCAACCTCATAACTGTTTGTCGATCGAGTTTTAGCGTCCGCTCATCCATTGGGATCTCTTCCTCAATGACATCCTTTTTAGCCTCTGGGTCCCCGACCGGGTCGGGGAATGATTTTTCGTCGGCCATTATGACAATGAAACTGCTATGTGTAGAAATGATCCCCTAGGAAACTCCAATGGATGTTGCAGTCCCCGCTTTTATACCTGTGGTCTCAATGCGAGTGAAGTGTGAATTGCCGAACAGCTGGCCGAACCAGCTGTGAATACGGGGTGTGGTTCCTGCGTTGTTGGGGAGGGCCAATGACATTTCCATAAGCAATCCCAACACTTCTAGCCAAGTGAGCTAAGACGATCTCCTCGAAAATCTCTATCCTCTATCCTGCTTTAAAAATGCGGGGGCGGGGGCACTAGGCGAGGGTTGTGGAGAGACGGTCGTGTCCTTAACCTCGGCAGCCGGACGCAGTGTCCAGACTGTTCTCCTTATCGCAAGATCCACGAGGGCTCTATGAGCATTGAGCTGGAGAATTACTCAATTCTTCGGAGCGCCCACCAGGCCTATTAATTATTAAATGTGTACGTTACCTGTTTCGGTTATATATGATAATATACGACATAACAGAATCAACTTTTGTTTGTCAAATCAGGTGCAAATCCAAACGATGTCCCTGTCGCAGATTAAACGGGCCTTGGCTTGAAGTGAAATTAAGAATGTAAAGGATAAGACATCGCTAGGACCCTTGAGCAGGGAACTTGCTCGATAAATAAGACATAAGTTAGGGTTTTAATCAGCCTCACGTGCTGGTCATAGCCCTTAAATCGAACATCGCCGTCTGACGAATGCTACGAATAAATTACACTGCGTATGTGCAGCACCCAAACAAAGGTGTAACAATCAAGGTTGTTGGTCTCAAATAAGGCCCGCACGCGGCTTTCCTAGACAGGTCTAGCGCCTAAGCTCTAAGGTATAAATGAACCATCTATTCCTAGTACTTTCAGGCCTTCGAGTGATGGATCAGGCCCTCTATTACCTGTCAGATCTTAATACATAGTCCATCCTGCAGTCGATTGCCCATTCCTCTTATGAATTCATGCGTTCTAGAGAGTATAGAGTTGCAGTTGAAGTGAAGGAAATGGTAACTATACCAAGATCGCAGCACCAATGGCGTGCTCCACGAACGGAATCATTGCATCCATTGCATGACAAATCCCCCATATGACGTGACTAATCGTTGACTGCTTTCTTTGTCTGTTAACTTTTATTTACTTGATTCCTAAGCTTGCGACTCGATGGGCTTGATAATCGAATAGAAGGAGCCGGAATTAATTCCGGGCAGGAATCCTGCGGCAGCCCCACTCGGGCAAGTGCTATAGAGGTTATATAAAGAGACACTGGCTGAAAACCATATTGCTTCCTCATCTTTGAGTACAACCTATCCAGTGCAGCTGAGACCCCTTGAAGCTACAAAACTTCTCCTTTCTTCCGAAATCAATCATTCACCATGGTCCTCAAACTTTACGGATTCCCGGCCTCCACCTGTACTAACCGAGTACGCATCGTCCTCGCAGAAAAGGGTCTCGAGGCCGAGTTTCACCCTATCGACTTGAGCAAGGGCGAACAGAAAGCAGAGTCCTACGTGAATGACCTGCACCCATTCGGCAAAGTCCCCGTTCTACAAGACACCGAGACGGGTGTTCAGATTTTCGGTTCGCAGCTCGCCACCGGCTGTCTAATTCAGAACAACACGCTAATATCGACCAAATAGAAAGCAGAGCCATTACCCAGTACCTTTCCAGCAAGTACTCCGGTCAAGGAACTACACTTTCCCCTCCCGAGTCCGATCTGAAGGCCTGGGCTCTGTACCAGCAGGCACGTATACACCTTGACACGTACCTCGGATGGCGCTAACGGATGCAGGCCCTCTCCATTGAACAAGCCTACTTTGACCCGCTCGTCTCTCAGATCTCTTTCGAGAAAGTCTTCAAACCCCGCAAGGGTCTTGGCCCGACCGACGAGGCTCGCGTCCAGGTCCTCTTTTCGCAGCTCACGCCCACCCTCGAGGGCTACGAGCGGATTCTTTCCAAGCAGAAGTACCTTGCAGGTGACCAGGTGACCCTTGCAGATCTGGCGCATTTGCCGTATGGAGTGTTTGTGGAGCAGTTCGGATTCGCCGATCTTCTTCCGAAGTATCCCCATGTTCAAAAATGGTGGGAGGAGCTGAAGGCGAGGGAGAGCTGGAAGAAGATTGCTGCTTAGATTTATGCATCTGTGGCTAAAGGGCTGAATTGAGATTCCGCACGAGATCAGTGATCGTCAATTTTCGGAGCGATATAGAGATAATAGCTAGTTAGTATGACATTTTGGCAAATTATAGCGTGACAACTCTTGTGAGCGACCTAATTGCTGTCTACAAGCGACTGCCGCTTTTATTCTTGGTTGACTATTTACTTCATGCTAATATAGAGTGTACGGCGCTAGTAATATTGGACCCACTATTTAGTATGCCACCTGTCAGGCCGCCCTTGTAATTTACGCAGTGTCCTGTGTCCTGCGCATGTTTTTAATCAAAACAAAGCTTTCCGCCTCTTGATATTTCTTTAGTGATTTGGCGCCTGTCTGCCTGTCTGCCTATCTGCCTATCTGCAACCTCCACAGCCATGGGATTCCATCCGATTGAATTAAGAATTCAAGCTCTAGCCCTCGTAGCCTGGGGAATCCCCACTGAAGAGATTGCTGCAGCTCTAGGGCTTTCCCCGCGGACTATCCAGGGAATCTATCAACGTGCAAGGGCCAGAGGATTCGATCCCGCCCAGGACAAAAGAATCAAAATGGGGTACGTGGAAGACGCTAAACGATCTGGTCGACCAAAGAAAACAACCGAAGAAGCCGAAAACGCGGTGTTTTAATCAGTTACTTTCACCGTGGCTGAGAGGGCGCTGGGCTCACGGCATATAGCTATTTAAGGTGCGATCCGTGCGTATCAGACCGTAGAGTCTAATGATAGTGACATTTTAGCTTAGTTGGGAACGGGCCTGCCTTTTTACAATTACCACCAATTGAACTGTTAGAGAGAAATTGTCCGAGATTTTAGCTTATGAAGCCGTACATCTTATTCCGTTGTGCTTTTTATACTCAAGTACTATGTATTTATTAGTATAACCTCTTTCTGGAATCCTGGATCTACTGTCGTTGCGAAGGTCAAGCACGTGAAGATCAACCTAGATCACCAGCACTAGACCTTAGATTATTCGAAGAATATAATTTGGATCGATAAGAATATGAGCTTAACACATGGATAAGCCGCGTACGACTACGTAATAGTACGGGACATCAGCTTCTGGAGTTCGACGACCACTTGATTGGATATTCTCATATATCCTGACAGCTGACAAGCTTACCTACCTATATGAGGTGATTTGCTGTCCATATTCATCGATCGAATAGTTGAAGAAAAGCCCCCAGAAAAAGCAATGAAGATGTGGCCGGTACGGACGACGCACGCATAGTGAATTGCATCTTCAGCGAATGGGATAATATTTGAGAAATTTGAGATATGAGGACCTTGCTCTCCTTTTGTGCCTCTTATCAAGCTATTCCATGCTGTTACCTGGGGTGTAATTTTGATATGCCACATTTGATTGGGGACAATCGGAACAGAAGTATGAACTTGGCTGACCCGACATCCGAGCAGCGAGTGTCTCCGGACCCACTGCTATTTCTATTAACTCTATGTAATCTCAACCTATGCCGTTCGGACCCGAGCACGGAAGTCTAGACCACGTAAAGCTATACGGTAGGGGCCCGGGTTTTGACACGATGGATGCCCCTGGTTTGAGCATAGTGCTGCAGAGCAAACATGCAGTTAGATCCAAACATCGCATGCTGCTCTACACTTGACTTGTTGATATGTAGTAAAGCCATACAACAAGTGACACCCCATTCTAGTAGTACTGAAATCTGTAAGGGGTACAACAGTTCTTACTTGTAATGAAATCAATCGGTTCGCTACAACTTCAACTACGACCCCGGTACTCTTTTAATACAATCATATTTCAGTACCAGCCTAAGGCAGCACACCATTTCATCGAGGGCATGTTTCCTGGCTACTTGATTATCCGGGCGTGGGTCTGCTATGTGGTATGGTTAAATTAGGCTGTGGATCAGGGTGTGCCTGTAACTTACCCCAATCCCCTCTGAAAACCAAGCATCCGTACATCTTTCTAGATAAATATATATTAGGCTTCCCACACTACAAGTAACTGAATTATATACTTGGCCTCCTTCAACATACCGTTTTTAGAGACGTTCGGAACTCAATAATATTGTTACAATTTTGTTCTATACCAAAATATTATATAGCAATGCCTCATACAGGCTCATGGTTGGCGATATACCCTAAATCCACTCCATAGTGGCATTTAGAAATTACCATAGACTCATATTGTCAAAACCAGACCAATATTCCAACCAATAGGCGAGATGGCCGAGCGGTCTAAGGCGGTTAGTACCACTATGAAATACTCATCTTATCAAACAAATAACTAATAATCTCTCAGCTGGAGTAAGGTTCCAGTCTCGAAAGGGGCGTGGGTTCAAATCCCACTCTCGTCAACATCTTTTTTTCCCTTCATTTTCTCCTATGCCTGCAAAAATGAACACCTCTATTTTTCCCCTATCCGGTCCTACGGAAGGTCAACACCGCTACTTCGTCTCAATATATCTTCCTTTTACCCTTGGCTGGATTTCTTTAATTAGCTGTATCCGCTTGCAGGCTTACTGGGTTACATTTGTACACGGAGTAAATGACGTCTGACAGCTATCCCACCTCTACTGTCGTGGTACCGAGGAACTATGAACTCTGGAAAGCAAAAATGGAAGTGGAAGTAGACAATTACAATATCTACCAAACTGCCACTCTAGGCCAGGCTCGTCATTTGAACCCGTTGCTGAGTTCTAAGATTCAAGCATCTGCAGTTCTTCCCTGGAAGCCAACCAAATCAATGGGAATTATTACTTATAATAATAAGATAATAATAGTTCTGTCTTCCATTACTAATGTAGAATCCCAGGGTAGCCTGGGATCGTGGGCGTTCAACACAAATTCCGACGATCCGAGGACCTATGGCCAGTGCTCTGGGTTCAGACTGATCTTGGGGTTAACACCGGTGCTGCTCCCAGTCTACAACAATGGCTCACTTCCCATATTTAGGGTATTGCCAATGGGAATGTCTTTAACCCATTGTACCATGATGTGAGAGGTTAATGGGTTGTTTCTTAACAAACTGGTTACTGTGGGGAAGCCTCCGTCCATATTGAGTATGGACTGATGGACCCACCGAGGCGACACCCCGAAGGAAAGTAGTAGCTATGTAAAGATATATAGTACGTGTGTTATCTGCGGAACAAGATCTAGTGGTGCGTATATACTAGGAAACTAGGAAAGGCTTTCTTCAGTCTATATTCATCAGAGACAGAGAGAGATAGAGAGTGAGTGTGTGAGTGAGAGACAAAAGCAATGAATTTACTAGCTATGGTGAGATAACTGTCAACTACACCAAACGCTATACGCCAATCAGTAAACCCGGCTACTAGACAGATAGTACGACTAGATTCAATTTAGTGAAAAGTCAAAACCGGTATATTATTTATTTCATCAGCGAGAATTAGTACTAAGTTCCTAGTCTTGTAGACTGCAATGTTCGATCCCGTTGCTTCCGCTATATGATCAAGCATTCGCATTTCAATCACCGAAGGTGATAGCCTAGTTTCAGTACAGATACGAGTTTTGCAAATATTGATTCTAGGAGAGCTACATCTGTAAAGACGAAAACCTTTGCTACCTTGCAAGATTCGTGTAGAATGAACTAGTATGAAGCTTTACAATTTATGACGAATGCATGATATCTTCTGACTGCTGTCATGATTCATAGCCTTTCAAAGACTTTCGGAGTAATGGAGTAATGCCAACTATCGGATCCACCAAGGCTACAGCATCGATAGACCTTTTGGTTTTAATAATAAATACTCTTATGAAACGTGGGGAGTCCACCACAAGTTGTCATTGACCTCTGCCGCGCTAGGCGACCCACGCGATAGTTTTCAAACCAGTGGAAGGTGTCCAAAGCATAGCCCTCGAAAGTCCCGATTCATAATGTAAATACATTTATCTTGAGATACACCATAAGTAGATACTACTGTTTTGGAATGGGAGAAGGATAGAAAACAAAAGTCAAGAGCAGAGATAGAATACTACTTTCTTGCAACCACTCGCAATGTTGGAGCCGCTGCTGAGAGACAGATAGCGACGACGTACTGGACCTTTTATCGCTTGTGGTTGTCTAGATTTCTTAACGGGTTTTACAATGCTGGACGAGAGTTACAACCCCAACTTCGAGTGGAGAATAGCTGCACGCAGCGATATGCAACCGGAGCCCCACTTGCTCGAGATCTGTCAAAACTTTTAGCATTTGTTCGGCAGTAAGCGGCAGAAGATTCCGTGGTTCAAGAAAAATATCAATCCGCTGGTAGCTGCCGGATGTAACTCCGAGATACTAGTAATACCTAAGCGAGTAGGACCCGACAAAGTCATTTTACGATCAGATAGGCTAGCCGTCAATGTTTTGCGTACATCACGATCCAGTCTTTCTGGTTTGTCAACGTACGCCGCATAGAATATTGCTTTACTAGGACGAGAACGGCCGTAAAGAGGAAAAATTGGTTATTGGTACTTCGAACTAGGCAACAGTATGGCAATCGATGATGCAACTACCAGTTGTTTAGGACCATGGCACGAGGTAGGAAGAGTGAGTATACACTGGATGATGAGTTCATTCCAGGCATGGTCTCCCTATGACCCAAGTGCTTCCAACGAATCGAGCACATATAAAGAGGATGTTCCATCTCAATTAACTAGATCAGTATTCTGAGTTACAACATATTCCTCCAAAGAAAGCTATTCAACTACCTCACACATCGGTTAAATACATTATGAAGCTCGTTTCAGTCCTCCTATTTACAGCTGTAGCTCTAGGTGCTGCCCCTAGGCCCTTTGAGGCATTTTGGGGCTCCCCCTATGAGGATGCGCCTGTAATTACCTGTCAGGACAAACCTGGACTGCGCTGCAACCCATCGATTGGACTTGACTGCTGTCCACTGCTTGACTGCACTGCTGATTGCCCAGGGTGCTGGGGCTATGTAAGTGATTTACTCCGCAAATTATATACATATCAAGTTCCGAAAAGTGACTTATATACTGCGAATAGTGCCGGAAGAATTAAGGATCTGAAGTTCTGGAGGCATATAATATTGCTAGACCTTTTGGTCCAAATTATGTGTCTTGTTTGGTGGTCAAATATCAAGTGGGGACGTGAGAACGTTGAAGCCTTGGGATAGGTTTCATCCTTGTACCAATAAAGTACAAGGTTTGCCTATCTTATTATGTGAATGAAAAGGCTTTACGAATTTAACGATATCTCAAGTACTATTCTAGTTATCCTAGTCGAGTAAAACTACTTGTTGTCTGATCATCTCTTGTAATATTATCACCGGCAACTAATATGGACTACTGCACATCTTCTGATATGCCTGGGTAGACAATTATAGTGCTCGTGGATCCACCAGGTAAGTTGTACCGGTATACCCAAGCACAAATTCCCTCTTCCTCATCAGGATGGATCATATCCTGATCATCTCATTTAGATAGAAACAACCCAATTTACCCAACCTGTCTCGGCGAGTGTAGCTTTAAGTAGCTTTCCTATCTACATTCGCACCCTAGTACACAGTTTACATGTTTTGTGAGCCCGAAAGACCATCAATCCATTATTTCGCTCGTTACTACCAGTACAATTGCTCAAGTAGAGGATGGAACTATGGGAGTGATAGTCTCCTAGTTAGTCTTAGCAAAAGTGCAATTCAGTACATTTTATCGCACGTAATGAAACTAAATAGCCATAATTAAAAACTGAGTAGAGCCTAGGTGGATAAAAATGACCACATATACAACGTTGGCCGATATGGAAATTCGCAGCTGTCTCCAACGGCATAGGGATGTATACCTGGGTGCGTGTGTCGTGGGTGAGGAGGTACTAAGGTAAACGCCCCGTGACGCGCTGAGAAACCGCCAACCTTTCGCGCCTCGACTTTCAAGTTTCCCATTAATAGTACTAGTAACATGGTTGCTTGGTAAGCCCCTCGTTCAATAGATGGCGTCTCTTGTAAGACGTATTTGGACTTTGACAAGTCACCTACAGCCAAGCATGTTTCCCATCGCAAGAGCTCAATCTGGCTTTCCCGTCCACCCTAGGCTGAAAATGCCACCGTTGTCGACCGCCATCACCCCTTTGTTGAGATCACTCTCGACCGTACAAACCCCAATGCCAAACTCTCGAGATGAAGAGCGGCCACTTCCCACAAGTGGGTTCCAAATTATCGATGCCGATCACCTGGTTGAAGAGGAAGAGCTGCCTGATTACAAGGAAGACCGATTCTATCCAGTTCGACTGGGTGAGATTTTCCAAGACCGCTATCAAGTAATTGCCAAGTTCGGTTTTGGTAGTTCATCCACCTCCTGGCTAGCTCGGGATCTGAGGCAAGGGGGCACGAGTTGTCCATATGAGAATGCTCGGCTGACTTTTATAGGGATCATCAGTATGTCGCACTGAAAGTGTACGTGCATACCTCATTGTTTCATCGTGAACTCCCAGTTTACGATCACATCTCGCGCCGAATGGGCGATACGTCCCATCGAGGACGAGGCAATATCCGAAGATTGCTAGACTCTTTTCAGATCACTGGCCCAGATGGCAAGCATATCGTCCTTGTCTTCGAAGCTGCCCAGATGAGCCTACGTGACATGAAGCTGGTGTTCCGGCGGGATGGGTTTGATGAAGACCTTGTAAAGGGAGCAATTATCGAGCTTCTCGAGGCGTTGGACTTTCTCCATACCTATGGAGAGATTGTCCATACTGGTATAATCTCTACCTAGTGTTTTCTTCGGCTTACAGTATGCTTCATTCATCGCTAACAGATTGCAGATGTACACCCAGGCAACATGCTCCTTGGCACCAACAATAACAATTTATTTCAAAAACTTAAACAAAAGGAATTTTCATCTCCTGTGCCTCGCAAGCCAGTCTCACCTTCTCGGACCATCTATCTCTCACGCCTAATACTGCCCAAGGAAGGTCCAATGTTGCTCTCTGACTTTGGGGAGGCCAGAATCGGTTCAGGGCCACATGGTGGCGATATCATGCCCTTGGAGTACCGGGCTCCTGAAACATTGCTTTATATGGGGTGGAGCTACCCCGTTGATATCTGGAGCGTTGGTCTGACGGTAGGCCGCAATCTACTTGTCATATTTGCAGCTCTGATATTATTACTTATGAACTAACTATATCCTGATCATAGGCCTGGGACCTCCTGGAGCCAAAGAGACTCTTCACAGCGCGCGACGAAGATGGCGAGCTTTATGACGCTGCCCACCTCGCCCAGTTGATTGCTGCTTTAGGGCCACCACCTCCAGAATTCCTGGCTAAGAACCCGGAAAGGAGAGCAGACTTTTGGGATGAGCAAGGTAAGTTGACTACTCCGAAGAGCAAATGTATTAGAAAACAGACACCGATGGTGCTCCATTCTCTAATACCGCTGCTAATCGCTGCCATCATAGGGAAATGGTTGGGCCTTGCGTCTATTCCGAAGGGTCGGACAATGGAAGCCCTTGAAACCAGATTGGAAGACAAGTCTGGCTTCCTCCGATTCATCCGCAGAGCTCTGACCTGGATGCCTGAGGAGAGACCAACAGCCAAAGAACTCTTGGAAGACCCTTGGCTGACAGACGAGAAAGCTTAAGATCATGTGCTATGCCGTGCGTCATATATTTGCTATATTTATGGAAAGGCTTTCAGATATGCTATGTGCTAGCCACTTTTCAACGCTTATAGTGAAAACAAGGACAATGCACGAAACTGCCCGTGCCAGTTCCTACTATAAGTCCCTGTGGAGTACATTGTGTCGTAGCACTTTGGGGCATTGTTTACTCGATATATTTTCTGGGCTTGTTCCATATGTGGATCGATTACACAGAGCTTCTCCATCAAAAACATGTCAGTAGGTCAATTTTGTATGTCTGAGTACAAAAATAGTGGGCAATAAGCCCGATGGTATTGATGCAGGAAAGATCCAATTTGTCTCAAAGCCATGCTTTTAGCCCTGTCCTTACTTGGACTCATCAAGCTCGATGGTGCCTGAGAATAAAGACTCGAGGTACTTATCCATCCATTGATAATCATTCACGGGGCCATCACTCTTCGTGGGATCCTCTCCGGTCTCCTCAGTCGGTTCAGGATCTTTCTTCGAGCCCAGATCAGGCAGATGAGGGACTTTCGAGGCCAAGTCCTTAGCGGCATCTACGGCGGACTCGACGAGCTTCGCCCATTCACTCTCGTCCTTATTTTGGGCTGTATCCTTCAGCACCGTCTCTGCCAGTCGGAAATACAGGTTGGGACCAAGCTCGTCCAAAGTGACTTGATCAGGAACTCCCTGGTCATCAATTTCATCATCAAGGCGGTTATCTGCTTCATGGTCAACACCCCCCGTGCCATCCGTCTCAGCTTCCAGAATCACGATTTGGTCTTCTGGTCTGCCAGCATCGGAAACTAGGGCCTTGAAGTCCACGGAACGTCCAGCGAGAGATTTGAGCTCATTGTTTATAAGTGTCTCGGTGTCAAGATCGTCGACTTCCACGCTCTTCGGGGCATCTGAGGTCAAAGCAGCCTTAGCATGCACCACACTAGGCGCCTAATGGCAAGAAATTTGGACCCTATGATATTATCTTCCCATCCATCTGGAAGATATTCGCGGGACTCTTTAGCGCTGTCCCGAATTGCTTCGATGATCTTTAATTCAAGATCTATCCCAGGAATAAGGTTTCTAAGCGTCTCCACGAACGAATCTGGATCATCCATTGCCACCCAGGCTAGTGGAAAGGCAATTGCAGCAATGGATCCAATTCCAGGAATAAATCCGACAGCGACGGTCATAGAGTTCTTCAAGAAGTTCTTCAGCCAATCGGTCTTCTGGGGAGCAGGTTTCCATTGAATACTGAGGCCAAAGTTGGCTCTGGCGATCTGAGCCCAGTCAAAGTCCGCATGATCCATGAAGGTCTGCTCGACCTTAGGGGATGCGACCATCTTTGCCTCCAGCATGATGATATTCTTCGAGGTGAAGGCGTTTTGAACACGCAATTGCCGTGGAAGCGAGAGGAGGTTGACCAGCCCATTGATGTTAATCCCCAGGGTCAGATTGTTCCAATCCTGCAAGCCGCGCGTTTTACTGAACGTAACGTCCTTCCAGAATACATTCGGCTTCTTGGGGTCCCCGGTATGATGAAGCATATTAATTGTTGCATCTGCAGCCGCAAAATTCACATGCTGGAATGTGCAGAGTTCGGGATGGTCCTCGGAGGCTTGGTGTGCTACGGGAATATAGATGGCGCGGATATTGGCCAGGCGCTTTTCTAATCAGCTTTTCAGCCATCGCCGGGGGTATTCGGCAGAGAAACATACATCGATAAACACCCAACCTTCCTACCTTTTCGGCATCGGCATCGCCATAAACCAAGACTATTGAAATTGTCTGATTAGCTGATCGGGTAATCGCGCAATGATTAAGCCGGAGCAGACAGTGTTGTGTTACCCACCTCCATGGCATCACCATCGACCTGCTTCTTAAGACGCTCAGCCCAGGTGCAGAGATTATGCTGCACGCGTCGGTGCTCCCCCTAATGATAGTGGGATCTGTAGACAAAGGGTAGATGTGTCCAGCATCCAATATAGGGGCCTTCTCTACCCTGGCTCATGAAACCCCAAGGAATGCTAAAGTCATGTTTCTTATATGTCGAGCGTGGATGCGAATGCGGTTGCAGTGCCTTGTCCCCCGTGTGAGCTGGCACATTCCAGAGGAACTCAACCAGAAAGTGCCCATAAAAATGATCAACACGATCAGCTTGGTAGCAATTTTTGTCTTTGTGATTCAAAGCAGCGCGTCTGAAGAAGCATTCGCCCTCGGGATATGCAAGAGCCATGTTGAAGAGTATCTCCTTCAGCGAAAGGGAAGTATATGAGCAAGCAAAATGGAGATGGGATGGTGGTAGCTTTCCGCTCTTTGGAATAGGATAAGGCTGACGAGCGATGGGTGATGGTCTCTTGAGGGCTTCTATCGCTACCTATTTATGATCCTCACATGCCAACTGGTTTCAGCTCCTCAATTTTCAAAGGTGCCATGCAAACATCTCTCAATCAGGGATTGTGCATAGTTTCTAACTGCACATGACTATGTTTCTTACTCAACTACTCCCTGCTTTGACAGAATTCCAGACACACTTACCCCTCAATTCATGGACACATATCATGGGCCTAGAGCTTTAATCCATCACCCCGATGCCGCCACCCCGGTTCCATACCCTGGTTCGATGGAAACCACTTCAGAAAACCTGGTTATCTGCGCGATTATTTTTCCAATCAATAGCCCAGCTTTCATATGAATGCTGCACATGAAACCGACTCGGTGAACTACCTGATATTCCTTTTGCTGTCCTCCGTAAGAAACGGCGGGGTCAGCACATGCAAGATCTTTCTGTGCATATGTGGCGATTCCAAGACTACTAGTAGCTGAGGTGAAACCGCATAGCTTAGCTGCATACAATCCCTGCAACGTTCTAGATTCGGAGGTTCGGATTGTGATGTAGTGGCTACTAACAGGCCAACCACCAGTCAGATAGATAGGTAGCAACTAGGAAGAATATGAAAAAGCAAATATGCAGATACTTTTTCAGGTCACATGTGTCTAGCAAGTTTGTCCAGCATACGGCCAGCAAAGGCGGAAGGCTGCCCTGGAGATTCTCCAGAGATCCTAGGTCGGGAAGGAACGAAATATAGTAGCTCCAAGACCGAGATGAACAGAAGGAGAGGAGTACAGGACGCGGAGTATAACTCTTTGACCTTCTACCAAGAACGCTAGATCTTAGATGTCAGCGAGAACGTCATCGTACGACCCACGAGGTTCCACGACCGCCAACTGGCGCCCACAGCAAAGGTAAGACCTACACCCTAGAACCTAGCCATAGCTTGGGAACACTGTTGAAGAAGGTTCGAAGGTGGGAGGTTCTTGTCATTCTCGTGGTGGACTACTTATATTAATAGACACACGGATACACATTCCTAGCGGAATGTCCCAGCCACCGTGTTATTCAACAAGCCATGATTTTACACAACTGCGGTTGTCCTGTCGGTCACCTGGCCGCAGGGAAGTCTGGGCCTGTGGCCGGCCACAATTTTATGGAAATACGTAGCTTACACAATTATTCTAAGCGTATAGAAGGTTTCTGTGCTATGAACTGCCGCCCTTCTATGAAATCGCGACCTCATTGTGGATGGCAGTGCCTATGGAAATTGCGGCCTTAGGGAATTTATAAGAATGCAGACACCCTGCTGTAGAAAGAGCGATAGAGAAAGGTCTATCCACGCATTAAGGATGACACGTTCTCACTTATGAGCTCCAATGTGTTCCAGTATGTATTCTCGGTCTGGATGCTAAAGTCCTCAGGGCACTAAACGTCTATAATGGACCCAACTACCCTGCGAAAGTAGTGGCATAAACGAGTGTGACTATCACGTCTTACCACAGCATCTACATCTACCCCCCATCGATTCCCTGGGCCGCCTACGGCACCGCCCTTGGATCCACTGCGCTTAGTGCCATTGCAGGCATCTTATTGTATTTCTCGAACGATAGCTGTTGTAGCACTGAATTTCCGACGGTATTTAGAGTTACCTAGGGCGTCGAGGTCTCTACAAACCTCAGCCTGGAAGACTACAGCAGCCTTGATCCGCTTCCAGACCATATTGCAAAAGCGAAAATGACCATCGACTATAACCCACACAGCGTATCATCTACAGCCTCATCAAGAACCAACCAGTCAACTGCTCAGTCTTACGTCCGGGGATTCGTTGAAAGGGCCTATAGCCTAATTCGTGCATTCTCCTTCGCCTATGTTGGACTTCCCGCTTGTCCCAGCGTCCACAGTGCATGGCAATTAATATGTCTCATATTATCTATCTAATCTCTGGCCCACTTCTACCACGCAACCACGGAACGCGTCCTACAATGATATGAATAATATGGCAGCGTATACTATACGTATTACTGCTTCTCAACCTCTGAAGTCCCTTTAGTGTCTCTTATTCAGATCCTGCAATATGGTGGGCTATTATTAGATTGGACAGTCCCAGTGGTATAAGCTCACGCACTGCCGGTATACGATTCCATTTACCTTTTCCCCAGACGAGTTACTGTCTCCTGTCATCTGCTGAGGTAAAAAAACAATTGACATGAAAAGTGCAAAAGCAAAAGCAAAAAAGGATGTTGACGAGAGTGGGATTTGAACCCACGCCCCTTTCGAGACTGGAACCTTACTCCAGCTGAGAGATTATTAGTTGTTTGTTCGATAAGATAAGATTCATAGTGGTACTAACCGCCTTAGACCGCTCGGCCATCTCGCCTTGGTTGAAATTTCGCCTTCTTATTTGAAGACATAAATAAAAGCAAAAAATGAAGATGGTCTGCATTACTTCTAGATGCTCTTCAAGTTAAGAATAGGCGCTGCTGAACCAAACTGGAGGGATAGCGTAAATGGAATATCTAGGGGTAACGCCACACAGGACTCATGCACCAAGACCTGGATGTATGGTTGGCGAAATCTTTATACAATCCTGTACTGACACGCTAAAATGAACATACTCTCCCCCAATGCGAAAGCTCGCTTGTGGTGCTGGGCAATATCTCCTGGAAACCAGTTTCTTTAATTTAGTCTCCATATGATGGATAGCACCTTTGTGGATCAAGAGCTTCAACAAATTTGCTTCTTAGCCACAAACTGCGGGGAGAAACCCGTATCTATCGATGATGCCATCGACAAAAGCAAACAACAGGACAGAGTGTCTTTCAATGAAGCTGCGGAATCAGTCTCTCGGGGAAATGTCTGTACTCGTTGGCGGCCATTTGCCCCCATTCAATGCTCGTTAGGCCTCCTTTTATGGCTCTGGTGAAGAAATGCCACGAGGCTCTAACAAAGGCCATCATCCATATTGTGGATAATTGGTGGGAAGGTGGCAGAGCAAAGGGCTTTGAATGTCAGTAATATCTGTCCTTTAGAAGATTACAGCCTTTGTTAACTAATATAGCAAGGTACAATGGTGCATCAACAGAGCAAAAATGGATTCTTCCGTCCGATTGTATGGGCTATTGTAGGTCATACATTGTACTGGCAGATAATGAGAACCCTTTAATGGTGCCGTTCCGCGTTCGTGAGATCGGTTGTCGGGCTCCATTCAATGCTGTCCTTAGCTCAGCTTATCGATGTGAAAAAATAACAAGGTTGCTGCAGGCCCATGGTACCGTTGACCTGGAATCGAAGTCTGAGGCAATAGTGGATGATTTACTCAGTCTTTTTGAGCCCAGTCTACTAATAGGAACTAGTGTTAGATGGGAATACCAAAGATATTCTTAGAGCAATATCCAAGGAGAAGCCCAGGTACAATCCAGATATACTGGAGTACGATGTTAAGCAAAAAAACAAAAGGAGGAACGCTTCATAGGGAATATAATGGTATAGGAAAATTATGAGCCGTTTTACAATCTAAAAAAATGCAATCATCCTCTCCCAATAGCCTACTCCGGATCCGAGATCTAAAAGAGTAACCAGCTCTTTATAGGCGATATTCTATTACTGAATATTAAATGAGCGCCAATTATGGCTGAGGTGAAATGAGGGCTTACAGAAAGACTGATTGAAAAATATTGATTAACTAACTGCTCAATTTCAATTCTGGACAGGCCAATATATCAATATATTTGACGCCAAATTAGTGCTCATGAAAATATTTCATTGAACGGAGTAACACTTTGACTGCTCCCGATCAAACACCCTCAAACCATTTATGCTCCAACGCCTGACACGCCGTGATCCTTCTCCCCGGATCAAAACGTGTCATGGAACATATGAGACTTTTAAAGTCATCATCAACACCATTCCAGAACGCGAATGGCTCACGCGGGGTCTCCTGGTTGAATCCGTCCCGAGTCACTTCAAAAACGCGAACCCATGGGTTGTCACCAAGATGCTTCAAGAACCCGTTGAGCCCGTCTTCATCTGCGAAGTAAGAGATCTGGCGCTCGATCACGACAGCTAGGGGATCAACACCCTCTTCCAACTCGTCTTCTCGCACTGCGAAAATGATACGCTTATAGACGGCGCAGATGCACTAGGCAGCCAGCTACCAGCTGCGCTTGAAGAATTTCAGGGGGGAACTTACAACAAGAGCAAATGAGAAAACATCTGAAGGTTTGTTAACAGGCCCTCTTGCGTGGGCTTCGGGGCTCCTCCACATCCAGTTTCCTGCCTGTTTCCCGACCATGTCGCATCCTGGGGGAATATGAACTGCATCTTCCAGATCTCCAAGTTGAACTTGTGCAACAATAATCTCATCATTGCGATTCCGCCAATTGATAACATTGTTTGCTTTTACATCTACAGAGGGTAAGTTGTTGTTCAGTATTCTAATAGCAGTGAAAATACCTATGTGTACGATATCCTGATCATGAAGCTCAGCAAGCCCAGTAAGGGCATTCTTGAGGATTCTCTTGATCACCACAAGGGGCAAGTCCTTCTGGGCAAGAGCTAAGAGATGACCTGTGAAGTGTTCGAAAACAAACATAGACTTGTCAGGGATCGTGTCCACAGCAAGGCGGACATGGCTGGCATTTCCACGTAGGCGATTATTGACTTCTTCAAAATCTTCAAAGTTGACGGGGTGTATGTACTTTAATATGAACTGCTGACCCTCCGCCTTGAAGGAGATATAAGCATGTAAACATGGGGAATGTTCGGTGTCTGCTCATGAGGCACGATAGACTTGACGCGGTGGAGAAATTTCTTCCTTCAGAACATGTTCGATAGTGTAAGTGCGACCAGACGGACCTGTATGCTGTGTAGAAAGCAGAGAGTCCCTTGACATTGTGCTGGTTGTGCGATGGAAAAGAAGCTTTGATCTTGAGATTGATGCGTGCTGGAAAGTGTTTAAATACACTGAGCGTTTACAAAAGCGGCTCACTAGAAGAGCGGAAGACCTTGGTGCCAACATTGGAGGCAGAGTGTGAGGTGCAGGAACTTGGAAGTTTTTCGGATTCAAGGATCGGGAAGACGCGCATCACGTTTCGCATTAGCTAAGAATCAAGAATTCCAACTGTTTAATCAATATTCAGTATCTTACTTAGTACCTAAAGAACTTTTCTTATAGTGCTATCTGTAGTATTCATTTTTAATTTAATACAGTATTTAGGATAATATATCGGTACTATTATACTAGTGATTTTCCAAAGCACTCACGACTCCATTGCCCTCCAGGTCTTCTTTGGCTACTGTTTGTTGTTGCTATTTGCCAGCGAGATTGATCTTTCTTGGGCCTTCTGGGACGACCTAGACTTCTAGTAATTAGATATTAGGTTAATGATCGGAGTGAAATTGAATCCAGCAGGGGATTGAGGTCCTTGCTTGAAATAAGGGTTTTACAGCTTCAAAGGACCGATTGCAGTGGTCCCACCCACATTACAAAAGATAGCTAAACAAAACTCTCTACGGCGCTCAAAAGGGAGGGTAAAAAACAGCCAAACATGAAATAACAGAATTAACTACAGAGCCATCTCCGAAACTGCCACAGTTACATACAAATCTGTAGCCAAGTAACCGAAGCCACATACAGAAGCGAGTAGTAATCACCACATGAAAGGCATCTCTACTTACTCTTCTGCTTCTTAGAAGCAGGTTTCTCTGCAACCACTATGTCCTCATCCAAGTCATCAATAGTGCGGGAACGAGGTAAGCCAGACAGAAACTTAGAATGGCGAAATTTGAGACTACCCGACGCCGGGAAGGACCCTAAATTACTGCTCGTATCAGTGACCAGGGCAGGTTGTCTGCCAGTCGGCCTGGGCGAGGCAGTCACAGGAACCTTCAAGTTGGATGACAGGAACCCAATAGAGGCCGCCAGCTTGGCGGACCTTTGTAGCAGTTGATTGACGGCATCGGTATTATGCAACAGACGATCGCCGACCCGATTCACAGCGTCGAGGACTTCAGATGGAGAAGCACTAGAGGCGGTCGCCTTACCACTGGGAGTAGAAATAACGGACTCGATAGCGTCCGGTTCCTCCTTCACAGACTCACCACCGTTCTTCGCCGTCATCTTCTCATCATCACTTTCATAAAATACAACAGCCTCCGACTTCTTGAGCTTCTCGGCCTCGCTAAAGGAAGCGCGCACAAAACCGCCAAAGCTGATAATGTCGCTACAACAATTAAGTTGCTGGTCCAGTAAAATAAAAATAATAATAATAATAATAATAGGAACCTACCCAATATTCCCTGGATCAAAATTCTGGCCGCTCGCTTTGGCAAACGCCCTACGAATCGAACAATCGTTTCCACGACCTCGTGCAACGCAGTTCGAGCAGGCCCCGTGGCAGAGAGCACGCCCGCGAAAGGATGGAGAGACAATACATACTTCATAACGAGATTTTGTCTCCGTGCACTTGTCGCAGCGCTCAGTGGACTTGCAACCGCTCCGATGCAAAATATAGGCGCTTTTGTGATGCTTATGGTTAAGCTGTACCATGTCCGTGGTACCAGAAGCACGACCGCTTCGTACGGTATCCAACAGGCGTACAGCTGTTGTATCCATCACCGACATCCAGTTCAACCCTGCAACTGTTAGTGGCTAGGTAACAGAAGAGATCAGACACCCACTCTTCGTCATGGCTTCAACCTGAGCCTCACGATCGGCCTCTGTCACAGGGAGCAACGCCATGTCAGGGAAATTGACAGCGATGCGCGCTGCCGCACTCGGGAGATCAACCATGGCTCCAGTAAAAGAAATCAACAGGAAGGGGATGATAATAGGCAAATGAAGAAGAGGGGGAATGGCGAACAGCGATATCAACCGCAACGGGGGAAAGGAAGAATGGGAAAGAAATCAGGAAATCAACAAGGAGACGCGTGGGCAGAAAGAGTGAATAGCAGCACCTAGGCTGCCAACAATCAAGGCTGCGGTGTGAGGAGGGTCATAAATAGGGAAGTCTTATCAGAAGACGAAAAGGCTTGGTACTGGCAGGAACATCGTCACATACATCAGATATTTGTACCTACGTAATTAAGCATATTGACTACTAGACTGACCTGTCGGCAAGTCTCATCCGTACGGGATTCATTCCTCATCATCTATTAGCTATGTAACATTTCTACCTTCTTGCCATGGAGGACAGGTGTGGCACTTTTAGTGTTTATATTGGAATACTCAATGACTACATAAAGTCTATTTGTACCAACGCATGCAATAAGGTGGTTTAGAAATCTTCATCTCTACATCTATGTGCGGGACTTGGAACTTTGTCTCCGACCCATCATTTGGATTATTCAATTGTACCTCGCTGTCCGTAGAACCACGCTTTCGGGGATGGCCAGAACTTCAAGCCAAGTCACTCAACTATGACCACACAGACTTCACTCGAAGGATGCTTTCGAAAATGGGATTCTGCCGGTATGCTTCGTAGAGTGGTACAGCTAATATATGGATTGCATTCTGGAAAGGCCAGATTTGGTAGCCAACAAGTGTCAGGAGATATTCTTAGAGGATGTCGGAGTATGCTGATCACTATCTGTGTTGTCATGGGCATAGAAAGGGATCTTGAACATATATCCCTTCTCTCGACGCATACCCTGCTCTCCGATAGAAAGAGAAAGGAGAGGAAAAAAAGATGTTGACGAGAGTGGGATTTGAACCCACGCCCCTTTCGAGACTGGAACCTTACTCCAGCTGAGAGATTATTAGTTGATTGTTCGATAAGATAAGATTCATAGTGGTACTAACCGCCTTAGACCGCTCGGCCATCTCGCCTAATGGTTAATGTCCTTTTTTACTTTGTCTATATCAAGCAGTGTAATTCCTAAGCGGAGGTCCTCCAGTTGAAGCGATGCAGGCTATATAAGAAGGGTCATACTTCATTAATTGCAAAAGTTCATTCCCCCTGAAATATCAGTGACGTCACTATGTAGCCTTTTGAAATCGAAAAACAAATAGTGACGAAAAAATTAAATACAGCACAAATAGTAGAAGTGGGTTATCAACACATGGTCACTTCCCTTCCAAGGGTACTAATTTTCTCTCCCACAATGTTGTTCTTCTCTAACCACTTCCTACCTCAGACTACCACCTAACCACGGCCTGCAATGGCCACGGCATCGGAGGCGGATGCAACGATGCGGCAGGCCGTGGCCCGATTCCGCGCGCGCATGGGTGCCGCCAACCGACAGTTCATCCAGCACCGCATTGCTGAGGTCGAGGCCCGCGGGCTGGCGAATGAGCAGGAGAAGATCCAACGAATGGCGGAGTGGCGCCATTTCGGGGCGCTGGACACTGATGACGAGCCCGGTGGCTGCAATAATCCCGCCGCGGAGTGGACGGCGAACCGATTCCGGCGGACCCGGCGCCTGGCGGAGGTGCCCGCTCTGGCAGAGGACGCGCTCCCCCTCTTCGCCATTGACGGAATCTATCCGGCGCGGCTGTGCACGGATGAAGCGCGGCAGATCTACCTGGACACCCTGCAGGAGGTGTTCCAGCGGCAGGCGGAGAGGTGGGCTGCCGCGGGGGGCGAGGACCCTCCCGGCTCGATCCCGCGCTGCGACGAGCTGGGTCGGTTCCTGACGTACGCGCACGAGGTGGCGGATCCGGACTTTCGCCGCTCCGGCGTGGCCCCCTTCGCGGCGGGGCTTTATGTTATGTCCGGGCTCGAAGAGGTCCTGGTGGAGGGGCTTGACTCGAGCGAGCAGCGCGAGCGGTACCATGAGCGAGTGCGCCAGGAGTGCGCGCGGCTGCGGGAAAATCTCGAAGACGACCAGGTATCGCGACTGATCAACAAGATTTCAATCATTGCAGCCCCAGACTGCGATATGGAGGTCAAAGCGGGCCTCGTCACCGGCGAGGGCTATGTGGGCCATTACCCCCGGTGGTATAGTGCCTATCTGTACTGCCGTCAATGTCTGGATGAGGATGAGGACGAGACCCAGGATGAGGACGATGACGCCCCGGATGCCCGCAACATCCAGGACTGGAGGTGGCGGGTGGTCTTCATGGAGTTTGAGGGCAACTCCTACGAGGGTCAAGTCCTGTATGGGCGCAAGCCGCGATTTGACTCGATCTCCGAGTTTCTGGATTGGTACAGTAGCTGGCCGGACCACCTTGATGCCCGGGCATTACTCAGTCTCCGCCGTCACGCGCATGGTTGTGAGACCGATTGCGAATCGGACTGTGAAGATCACATTAAGTACTGACCAACTCCTATTCCTCCTCGTGCGGGCGAGAGACAATATATCAAGTGATTAGTTACTCCCTGCTTGCGCACGAGTTGGATCATGTTACAACTCTAATATGTATCAACATAAGAAACGGGCTATCCGGATGCTCCCGCTCACAGAGCGCTCAGCACACGCACTTCCGCCTTGCTCCACGCCCGTAGATCCATCATAGAGCAAAAAGCGTTCCTCAGCTAGCTGAAAGTCGCAGATACATTTGGGGGCATCTGAGTGGGGCTATGCTCTTGTTTGACCATCGTCGCACATGCATAGTATTGGAAATGCACATCGGCACATGGAAGATGAAACTCGGGTGCTACTACTGCGTGGCGACGACAATTGTCCGCCCAGTGCCCGGCACTAGAACAAGAACTTGCAACAAATGACATCTCGTTGTGGATGGCGATGACTGCTGGTCAATTCGCCATGGGAGCAAATCTGGGAGACTATGCCGCCCTATACGCTGCCGGAGTGCTATCTGCCTCCGATTCTCTGCTTTTAGCTGGTCGTCGGGCTGAATTGCTCCAACCCAAATGTGAAATAGATATCCATGCCATGCTTGCGATTCGGGTAACGGAAGCGGAGGTAAAATAAACCTCCATGGTGCGAAGTATGAGGTTGCTGCGCGTAACGGCCGGCGGGAGATGTGCCTCAGCAACCAACATTTGTGCAGTTCATCAAGAATGCCATTCCGGAGGCTTCGTTGATTCTACCCTCCCTGCGGCTCGGGGAAGACAGCTTTTTAACCCTTTCGAGTACCTTGGCATCTGTCTACCGTGCTGGCATAGATGCCAACTGGGTGGAATGGCACCGGCCATTTGAACGAAATTTGCGCCTGTTAGATGACCTTCCCTCGTACAGTTTGAATGCGAAGAACTATTGGCTTCAGTATACAGGTGACTGGCAGCTTGTTAAGAATCAACTACCAATTTGTATCCATCACGCAGACTCTGTTGGGATTCCATCCACACTCCCTACTTCTCTAATTCATCAGGTGCTTGAGGAGAGTATTTTAGGCGAAGAAGGGTCCATTATCATCCAATCCGATCTACCGCAACCAGGGTTCTTCGAGGCGGCAAATGGGCATCGTATGAATGGACATGGTGTTGTGACATCGGTAAGGGTCTCTCTCCTGTATATGTTCTCAATATAATAACGTCTATTGTGCACAGTCAACTCACGTCGATATCGCGTTGACGCTCGCAAAGCATCTCTTTCATCGCATCCGACCGGGTTCAAAGCCCCCAGGGATGGATATTCGTAACATCCAGGTCTTCCAGGGCCTTGTTCTCCATGAAGACAAGACCATCCCACAGCGAATAGGGGTTGTCGCTATAGCAGACTTCAGCAAGAGGCTATCCGTGCAGCTTCAGTAGTACAATGTCCTGCCAAATTCCGAGAATCTGGACTATGGCTTCGCCTCTGCAGAGGTGGAATTTGGAGACAGCTAAGTCTGGTTAGATCAGTGGTCCTCCTATGCTCATCTTGTTACCAGCAGAATCGAGGTCCTAGATCGTCTGGCTAACGAAGGTGTTGCTAATCGGCTATCGCGTGGCCTGACGTATACACTATTTTCTAGCCTTGTTGATTACGCGGATCGCTATCAAGGCATGCAGCAGGTCGTGTTATATGGAATGAGAGCCGCAGCAGGGGTTGTCTTATCATCAAAAGATGGAGGCAACGATCTCACCGCATTATATTGACAGTGTCAGCCATCTCGCTGGTTTCATCTTGAACGGTGGCAATACTATCGACACGCGGAAGAACTTCTTCGTGATACCTTGATTTAAGTCCTTGCGCATTGCCAGGCCGCTCCTCCCAAGGAGCGAATACCAATCGTACGTACGCAAGGTGTCACAGGCTGAGCCTGGTATCTATGCTGGAGACTTGTACATACTGCAGGGAGGCGAAATTATTGGGTTGGTAGAGGGTCTTCGGTTTCAGACTGTTCCACGGGCGCTGCTCAATAAGTTTTTCAATCCATCCGACGCACACCCACCTGACTTGACTCCCTGCAAGGAGGCCATTCAGAACAATTCAATCGTGAAGGAGCTAGTTATGGCATTCAAAGGCTCCCAGGCAGGCATCTTTCAATGATCAGCAAGATACAAAGCCGTTAGCACCGGCGGTGGTGGCGGAAATTTCAAGCCCATGGACAAGGTGATGGGATTAATCGCGGCAGAAACATCTTTGGATCTAACTGAACTCGAGGATGCAACGGAGTTTGCAGCGATTTGAGTGGATTCTTTACTGTCCCTTGTGCTGGCAGAAAAGTTCAATATTCCTTAATTGCACCAGTAATGGAGTACTGAAAGAATGGTTACGGGACATTTTTCTCTGTATATTAAGTACCTTGAGTTCTTTTGTCACTTTTTCACTTTTTTTTTCTCTAAACAGAAGCATAACGTCTATTCTATCCATAAATATATATAGGCGTTACATATAGATATATTGTACATATAATCCGTTGCATTTTTCTCAGGAATTATACATGTTGCACGCTCACCGGGAATAGATCAGCTCAACTTCCAAGCACTACGCTGGTAGGACACTGGGATCGGCTCAGGTCTCAATTGGGCCTTTGGTATGTCTTGAGATGCTGTGTTCTATATCTAATGTCATAGATAGTGATGAGCTATATCTCCTTGGATTTGTAATTAGTCGCAAAAGCATTGCTCATAGTCGGCCCCTGAGGTCAATTAGGGCTGAGTCAAATATATATAACACACAAAGAGTGAAGAATCCTAAGAAAACTGTAGCGAGCAAATGGACAACACACAGTACATAGTATCCGTAGCCAGTTGACTATAGAGCAAATATTACAGATATTAGAGGTCTACATATTAATTTGGTAGTGACACAGTCAATATTGAATCAAGTTGAAATGATAATTCTTTATCAATGACGGCTTAGATCTATATAGCTTATTTATACAAAAGAGAAGCAACCAAAGGCGAGATGGCCGAGCGGTCTAAGGCGGTTAGTACCACTATTAATCTGATGTCTTCTCAAACAAATAACTAATAATCTCTCAGCTGGAGTAAGGTTCCAGTCTCGAAAGGGGCGTGGGTTCAAATCCCACTCTCGTCAACATCCTTTTTTTTGCATTTTCTTACTCATCTCAATACCATAGCTTTACTTTATGGCCTCAATTTTTACCCAAAAGGAAAGAAATATCGATATTGAGTAAAACATGTCTCCCTCAATCCTTTGTCCTCATCCTGATAACTTGAATGGACATAAGCACATCCAATACTGGGAATAACCCATGGCTGAAACGCTCCACTTTCTTTGTACAGTCTTCAGATCCCCGTGATTCCGAAACTTTCCAATGAATTAATTCAGATTCCACCTCGGACATAAGCTGGAGATAATATCGTTCCGGATTCGGTATAGAATGGTATTTGACAGTCTAACAAGGTTGGCCCTGAGTCAATTGATCTACGGGGTAAATTAATAGCACGCTTAGCATGAACCGTGCAGCACATTGCCCCGTGTGGGCCTCCATGATGCTCCTATCATTGCTGGGGTTTTGCAGGAGCGTAGTCTGCTGGCTATGGAGATCTCTCGTGCCCAGACGACATTGACTGGCCGTAGAATACGAAGTGATAAGAGTTTAACTAGAGCTCCATGTAAACCACATAACACAATGTTATTCTCTTCTATAATAAGTTCCAAACAATTCCAATTACCTAAAAAGCAAGCATTGAACCCGACTTCGGAGTATGGGATAGACTGATCATTTGTAGGGCGCATAGAAAACGTGCTGAGTCAGCCATCGAGGGGTTCCTGGAATAAATTCCATGAGTCACCTGCCTTTGCGGGGCAAAAGACTTTTGGATGTTGAAAGTGCTTATCTTCTTTCCCGCACACGAATTCCTGCCAACCCCAGTCTTCCCCTGACTACCTTGAGGACACCATAACCCACTCTCACCATTGAAACGTTGACGTCCTCTGATCGGCTGGAAACATGACGGAACAAAATAAACCCATCCTCCCCGAATCCGGGAAGCGCAATTTTCTCGTCACTAGCGCTCTGCCATACGTGAACAATGTTCCTCATCTGGGCAATTTGATAGGTTCGACCCTGTCGGCTGATGTCTTTGCCAGATATGGTCGGGGTCGTGGTGCCAACACCCTTTATGTCTGCGGTAAGTCCTCTATACAACCCCGCGAACACTATCAAACCCCTCCATTGCTGCGCTCATGCTAACTGTCCCGGTCCTTCAGGTACCGATGAGTACGGCACGACGTCCGAAGCGAGAGCCATCCAAGAGAACATGACCACCAAGGAACTTTGCGACAAATACTATGCCCTCCATGCCGAAGTTTACAAATGGTTTAACATCAGCTTTGATATTTTCGGCCGCACAACCACCGAGCTTCAGACTAAGATTACTCAGGATATCTTCCTTAAGCTTCACGATAACGGTTTCTTGTCGGAGCACGTAACAACTCAATTATACTGTGAGGAGCACAAGTCGTTCTTGGCAGACCGCTTTATCCAGGGTGAATGCCCACACTGCAAGTATATCGATGCTTATGGTGATCAATGCGACCTCTGCGGTCAGCTTTTGGACCCATTGGATCTTATCAAGCCTCGCTGCAAGCTCGATGGGGCCACCCCCGTGAAGAGGGATACGAAACATATCTTCCTGAAGTTGGACAAGTTACAACCCGAGATCCAGGCATTCTTCGACGAGTCTTCGACAAAGGGAGGATGGTCTCAGAACGGAAAGGATATCACCTCATCCTGGTTGACGAAGGGATTGCAAGAGCGCAGCATTACTAGAGATATTAAGTGGGGTACTCAGGTGCCTCTGCCAGGCTACGAGGAAAAGGTTATCTACTCCTGGTTTGACGCTTGCATTGGTTATGTGTCCATTACCGCAAACTACACCGACCAGTGGGAGAAGTGGTGGCGCAACCCGGAGAATGTCGAGCTTTACCAGTTCATTGGAAAGGACAACGTTGCCTACCACTCCGTCATGTTCCCCGGTACTGAAATCGGTACTCGGGAGAAGTGGCTGAAGGTCCACCACCTCTCTACCACCGAATACCTGACTTATGAGGGTGGCAAGTTCTCCAAGTCTCGCGGCATCGGTGTGTTCGGAGACTCAGCCAAGAAGACTGGCATCCCTGCGACGTATGGCGTTACTACCTGCTCTCTCACCGTCCCGAGACTGGCGACAGCGAGTTCAACTGGGACCTCTTCATCAGCTCCAACAACAACATTCTCCTCAAGAACCTGGGTAACTTCGTCAGCCGTGTCGTGAAGTTCGTCAACTCTAAGAACTACGACAACATTGTGCCCGACTACACCACCTATTCTGACCCTGCCTTTGACGCTTGGAAGGAGGAAATCAACGAACTTCTCACCCAATACATCCAGCAACTCGATGCCGTCAAGATCCGCGCTGCCATTGACACCGTCCTCACCATCTCCCAGAAGGGTAACCTGTTCCTCCAGTCCAACAGCCTCGATAACAAGCTCGCCGAGAACGAGCCGGTCAAGTGCGCCGCTGTGATCGGCCTTGCCCTCAACCTCATCCACCTCCTGTCTGCCCTCCTCTCCCCCTACATGCCCGAAACCGCCGCCAGCATCAACGAGATCCTCCGTACTGAGGCTATTCTGATCCCGGATCGTTGGAACGCCGACACCGTGAAGCCCAACCACGAGATTGGCAAGGCCAAGTTCCTGTTCAGCAACATCAAGCCCGAGAAGGCCAACGAGTGGCGTGACATGTTCGGTGACGAGGAGGCCAAGAAGGTCAAGGAGGAAGAGGCCAAGAAGAAGGCCGCTAAGAAGGCCGAGAAATTGGCCAAGAAGGAGAAAAAGAAGGAGCAGAAGGAGAAGGAGGCTGCTGCCGCCACCGCCGACGGAGTGTCCGAGATCTCTCAGTCCGCAGAGAAATTGAACATTCAACAGTAGACCAATAACCATACGGTCACGCGCGACATTCTATACTAGATGATGTCGCGCTGTACGTCTAGAAGGATGCCACCAGCGATGTGGTAGACATGATTGATATGATCACCTAGAGCCTATTTATTTGAAAGATTTGATGTGATTTTCTTTTATTATTTTATACAATATTCATATGTCCGGTGACTTCAACGTCCTGGAAAGTGTAGTTAGAGATGATACCACGGAGAGCATACTATCAATCAACTGACACTATCTTGGAGATTCTTTAGTCTCCAAGATGCCTATCACCTTGATATTCAAGCCCGGATTGCTGGCGTACACAGGTTAGATACTGATTATTGCATTATACCCGAATACGGTCTCTTCTAATGCTCTTCCCGGGGTGCCGAGGCCGATTGCCTGACCACGGATTCTATATACAGGACATGCTCCTCAACCCGCTGAAACCGACTCAACCTTGCCAATTGCCCCACGCTTCCCTTTGCTTTACCGACCCTCTCGCCGCCACGCTGGCCTTCTTCCGTCTCTATGTCCAGCTATGTCCCTCGCATTCCTCTGTCCCACGTAAGCATGCCTGTCCCGTATTTTCATCCTGTATGCCCCGCGTCCTGTCCTATCCGTGTTCCGTGCCATCAGCTCGCAACGACAGTTTCAATGCAAAAAGGGGTCATTATTGAGTAGTGAGAATGTAGGTGAAGGTTGAAAGGACGATTTGGCGCTGCTGCTCGGTCAGCTCGACTAGCCTGCCACAGAGTTCGCCCGTACTGCAGGTTAGAATGACCTCACAGAGAGCTTGGCAAGGAACTACTCGATTTACATTGTATGTACAAAATAACGAACGGTAAAAAGAAAAGAGATAGACAAACATGACCTCGATAGTAGGACAGAAAAGCAAAAAATATGGGGCGAGCCGGGATCGAACCAGCGACCTCACGATCACCAGATGGTGTTAGAGGTGAAGTTGAAACTTCAGTCGTGCGCTCTCCCAACTGAGCTATCACCCCAATTGTTGAATAGTGACACAAAATAGGAAATCAAGAAAGCAAGAGTGTACTTATATCCTAGCCCTAATTTCATCTCCAGGGACACTTCACAACTACTAGCTGGTACTATTATATAAGATATCCCTGGGGCAAATAGGAGACCGGCATAGCCTAGATGTTACGCTTGTGGGTCTCTATGGCAAGTGTCTAAGTTCCGACAAGGTATGAAACAGACCTAGCACGCATTCCCGATCTTGGTCCGTTCCTCTCACCTCCATATATGTTTTAGATGCCTCTGACTGACTCAAAGTATTAGCGAACCAGTTATCCTATAGTTAGTTGCAACAAACCAACAGTAAAAGCATATCCCACTAAACTAACACCCAAAGCCCAATCACAACGCATTCTCCTACCATAAGCGCAACGCCAAGTCTCCGAAACTCTCCGCTGACACTCGAAACCCTATTTATATAGATCCAGCAACACCAGGAATTAGAATCATTCATAAGTTCAAACAGCAACCACGAACAACCCAAAGACCAAGTTATTACTACGAATATTGCAAGAAAGACAAAGAAAATGAGCACAAAAACCCACACCCCCCACAAACCCAATACACCTACAGCTACACCCACCACCCCCAGAAAACCAATCCAAACCAACAATCCTCCTCCTTCACGGCTTCCCCTCAACATCCTACGACTGGCGTCATCAAATCCCCTACCTCTCATCACTCGGCTACGGCATCATCGCCCCAGACCTCCTCGGCTACGGGGCCACCAGTAAACCATGCGACATCACCGCGTACAAAACTAAGTCCATGGCCGCGGAGATAATCTCCATCCTGGACGCTGAGGGGGTCGACAAAGTCCATGCCGTGGGACACGACACGGGGTGCACGCTTCTGTCTCGATTGGCGGACTACTTCCCAGAGAGGTTGCTGTCATGTGTCTTTTTGGACGTGCCGTATATGAGTCCCGCAGTGAAGTTTGATTTGGATACTGTGAATAACGTTACGAGGAATATCTTGGGGTTTGAGAGGTTTGGGTATGTGGGCTTTTTTGCTAGGGAGGGGAGTGGGGAATTGTTGGATCGGTTTGTATGTTTTCTTTCTTTCTAATCCGAGTCCTAAGTCTATGGAGATTGGGATGGTGTTAATCCACCATAATGGAGAGGACATGAGCTAACAAATAACGATACAGGCAGATTCCTTCTTCACCCTCTTCTACCCCCACAATCCCTCACTATGGACCTCACACCTTTGCCCAACCGGGGCAATAGAAGAATGGCTTCTATCCGACCATCGAGCCCCATTAGCTCCTTACATCACTGAAGAAGTTCGTTTCCACAAGAATCCAATCCCCCAACAACAAAACTAACGAAAGGCCCAGGAATTTAAAACCCACCAAAAACTCCTAGTCGGTCACCACGCCTCAGCACTGAATTGGTACCGGGCTCTGGTCTCGAATATCAACGTGGAAGACGAAGAACAGGCCCGTATTACCCCTTCACTGTCTATGCCGGTTCTCTTGGTTTGTCCGAGAAAGTCAAGCTTGGAGATGCCTGGTCTTGAAGAGGGGATGAGGGCTGTCTGCGCTGGCGATTTGGTGGTAAGGAGGGTGTCGACGACGGGGCATTGGGTTCAGTTGGAGGCGAGGGAGGAGGTTAATCGGATGCTTGGGGAGTTTTTTGAGGGTATGAGGACCTAGGGGTATGGGCTGGTGTTGTTGTATAGTACGGCTTTCTTTCTCTCCTCTTTTCTGGGAATTATGAGATGGGGAGCTTGGTATGTGCTTTTTGGCCTTCATGTCAAGTTTCTAAGACCTGGAAGGTACCAAGCCAGAGTCTTATATTCTAGCATGCTTTTCAGGTCTAGTGGTCTATTTTTCAAGTATTCATATATACTTTTGTCTGTCTCCCAGAACTCTAGATATTTGGCTTTACTGTAGTGTCACAGATACCTTTATATCTTGTAAATAACTTATAACCCCTCCCAATAAAACCCATATATACTTACTAGCAATAGAACTATTATAAGGCCTCTAGAGCTAATACCTAGATCCATATCCTAGATCAAGTATAAGGATCGAGATTGATAGGAGCACAAAGAGCTATCCGGGGGATTTGGCAGATAGAAGTCGCACCCCGTATCTGTAGCAATCCTTACCGATCAGGAGTTGTTCATTTCGTACTGATTTGAGAATATAACAGAGACACTACTCATAGAATAATAACCGCTAAAGCACCCTCTCTGATTAGAGTATGGCAATCGCGTTAAGGTGAGTATTGGTGATGGGTTCGAAATTTCACATCTCATAAGATATATGGCATTTTTCCCGCCTTTTAGTAGATTTAGAATTGGTCTTGGATGGAGTATTGAGGATAGTAATTAATTAAGCGGCTTGGTCCTATTGGATCTATTAGCTTTCTTAGAGAGGATTCTTATAAAGTATATTATGTGAAGAAGTAGTTAAGCGAGTTCTCTCTAATAGCTAGTTCGACTCCACTTTGGAAGCCTAGTTTGATATTAAATTTTGTTTTAATGAAACTGGGATGGCAAAAGTCGGTCTGTAGGGAAAAACCCATTAGCTGAAAGCATAGAAAGCTAGCTAACTACCTTCTAATTAACTAAGTTTTTAGTAGTTAAATTCTGGAAATTCTCTATTCCTTGTATGTATCCTACTTGTCCTCCGTATTAGCTTCGCGCTTTGGAAACATAAGCTGAAGTGGAGCCCAGCCCCAATTGGTGACGAGTCAACAGATCGGCAGTGGATCTACTTGGGAAAGATCGCGTTGATCTCCGTGGAGCGGTTCGCTTAGAGATCTTGAGTCAAGGCTGAGCTGAAGATTGTACATCAGCGAGTCAGGCCTGCAGATAGTAGTAGGATGTATATGTGGCGCAGCTGAGCTTGACGATCGATCAGGCTTGGCCGATCGACTAGCACGCGAGATCATTCCTTTTCAGTGACCATCTTGAACTATAATCTCTTCTGAACTCTGGACACGGCCTTGCCACGGATGAGAAAAAGGTTCGATCCAAGCGATGCTGGTGGACATAAAGCTCCATGTTCCGTACTTATCTGGCCAGTGTTTGGCAATATCCATGGATATGTCAAAAGAAAAGCAAGCACACAGGCTCAGGGGCAATTAATGACCGGCTCATTCCGCCGTTGAGTGTATTTTTCAATATCTTAGACGGCGACACAGTATACACTATGATTGAACGAGCGGAATCGTGTTCTCTCCACAGCCCCTGGGAGCCTAGTGAAGCCACAGTCGCGCCCCAGCAGCTCATTTCTCATGCATATAACTGTATTATCTTCTACCGGTGGACCTCACCGGATGGGATGTCCGAGCGTGGGCGCGTTATGGCACGCCTTGTTGCAGAGATGATGGAGGAAGCCAAGCGTCGAGTCTGGTTGGATCAATGGGAAATGAGACGGGACACGACCCCCGATCAAGTCGTGCGACGGATTTCCGATATTTTCCTGTCTGTACCAAAAGTCGTCATCCTGGCAGCCCCAGGGGATTGGAACCGCTTCACCAATGCCGATGATATCCACCGATGGGAGTGGGAATTAAGCTTACAGAGTGGTAAGATCAAAATCCCGCGCTTGTGACAGAGTCTGGCACTCACTGGGAATTATAAGACAAGAAGATCTGGATCCTGCGGTATGGGGTCCCTGAGACGACACAGACACTGTCCAAAGAGCAGTTGGCGACGGACCTGCGAAAGCACAGCGGCCGTCTAGCGGACCTTGTTATGAATGGAAACATTCAAGTGCGGGTATTAACGATGGATAACCTGAAAAGAGTCCTAAGGGAAGTTGTATAAGTTAAGTAATAGTTTTATTGTGATGAATGTATGCCTGTATTCTGCCATCCTGTTCTTTGACTATATGGACACTAGTATAGATGCCGATTCGATCACTCAGGACGACCTAAAGGCCCACTAGCTCAAGAAGGTCAAGGAAAATGTGATCGACTCCACAGAGATAGATTCCATTTAGTCAGATTAGTGTAAACTCCAGCAATGTGGCGCATATAGCTGAATGTTGGCGGCCAAAGACTAGGCATCGTTGCTCCTCTTTCCACTGTAGCTGCTAGCTTTTGTCCCACCGGTACCTGTAACATGGCCTTGTTAAACACAACACCTTTAGAAGCTTTCAGCTCAAACATTGTGTGATCGTTGATCCAGCCTTCTCAGAATGGTCACACGTCGATCTTAAATAGTACTGCATGTTCTAAATCTCGCTTCCCCCGACTTTGTAGTCTCCTATAGCGGGGAATACGAGTAAGGAATGTTACTTAGTTTGTTTTACGATATAGGAACTTAGTATATAAATATATGTAGTCTGGTTCTTTTAATCGAGTCTTATTTCACTCAGACAAAGGTAGAAGGGTTTACAATTACCTACTTTCCAAGCGGTTAATAAGTTAGGTAGTATACATAGGGTAGCTCCCAACCTAGAACTACTACAATAGAACAATTAATCAATGGAAGTAACTACTAACTAGTTTCAAACTAAAAACTCTTAATGCAAATAAGCTTTCATCACATCGCTCCACCTTGTTTTGACGCTACGTACTCCGGAGTACCAACACGAAGCCCTAATTTAATCTATGTATCAAAAATCCAGCTATCTACCCGTGACGTCACATGCACATCAAGCCCTGATATAACCAATTCTCCACTCTACACTGACAAGTCTAATAGAATATTAATTTACATACATATATACATACATACTTTAGCTTTATCAACCCACAAAACACCACTCCCCTCAAGGAGTCAAGATGTCCACCCAATCCCAACCCCCCAAAGCACAACCTACACCCAACCCCAAAACCCCATCTCGCAGACCCCCCTGGAACAACACAAACAACGCACCCGCCACCACGGCGATAATGTACCAACCATAACCCGTGGTCCGCAATCCAGGCCCTCAAACAGTGGCACCCTCTCCGAGCTTACCCAATCCCGCCAACAGCAACAACGCGACCTCCACTTTGCGGCCGACGTGGACACGCAATACGGCGTAGAGCAGCAGCCTAATGAGGGGAGTATCGCGGCAAACGTTGAGGGGAAGAGTGCCCGTGCTAGTGACCAGGCGGGGGCTCATGCTGGGCCTGTGGGGAGTGCGTTGGGGCCGGGATATCCTGCTTCTGCTTCTGCTGCTGCTGCTGGGGATGGTGGGGAGGTGAGGGAGTTGGGGAGGAAGGAGGTGCATGAGTGGATGCTTGGGGAGAGGGTTGGGCGGTCGCCTACGGAGCCGGATGGGGATTTTGATGGTGGTTATGAGAGGGAGGAGGAAGTTGATGCTGGTAGGGCTGTTAGGGAGGGGACGGGGAGTGCGGTTGTTAGGTGAGTGATTGCGTGCGTGTGTGGATGTGGATGTGTCTATTGTTGTACATTTAGTCTTGCAGGAAATTGTTGGATGATGGATGTAATGTAAATTCAATAAACTCAGTCTGTATACGGAGACTACCGGCATTTCTGAGCTGCAGCTGGACAGCGTTGGTAGACAGCAGTCGACTTTCAACCCCCCTGGAAGAATCCAATCCCCAACCATACAGTCAGAGATTCTCCTTAACAGGATTCTGATTTCCCTCCCAAACCAACTTCCTTGGCCGCATATACTCGTCGAGAACCTCATCACTAACCAGCCCTCTCCTCTCTTGAAAGTGATGTACATACTCCTGCAAAGCCTCGATGGCCATCTTCTTCAACTCACCCGTCAAGAGCTCACCGCTCTTATAGCTCTTATAAACCTCCTCGAGCTTCGCGTCGTCCTCCTCAAAATACGTCAGATAGATATACGAAACATCCACATCCGGATTTCCCCCAAGACGACGATGATCTTCTACGCTAACCTGCCCGCCACTGAACGCATACTTGTTAATCTTCGTTTTGATCTGTTTCGGCGTATCAGACATGAAGATAGCGGAATTAGGGTTCGACGAGGACATCTTCCCCCCAGGACCCTGCAGCGCAGTGAGGAATTTGGAATGGATGAGCGCCGGCTTAGGCGACGGGAAGCGCATCTTATGCGCGTTATCCCGCAGCAAACGGAAGTAGGGGTCCTGGTCGATGCCCATGGGGATCAGGCAGGGGATGTTGGCGATGGACTGGGTGCGAGTCGGTTGTGGGTCATCTGTCCAGATTTCTGGGTAGGATGTTGCGAAGGCGGCTACGCATTGAACCGAGGGGAAGAAGATACGGCCGATGTTGGTACTGTTTTAGTTCACGGTTAGCTGAGTTCAGCTTCAACATAAATAGGTAAGTCTAGCATGCTACAATACCTTTCATTGAAGCCGAATGCGCCTCGGACTTGGTTGAAAGTCACGAGCTTCGAGAACTCCCATGCGTTCATCAGAAAGTGGTTGCTGAAGTACTTGAGATCGCTGTAGATAAAGGTCTTCTTCTTGTCGAACCCAATGGCAATGATGTCTCGAGCATTCTCCTTGGCGTATTCCATTGTTTCTTCGAAGGTGAGACTGTCTTTGAATAGGGCTTTCTCGTCGTCCGTGAGCATGAATACCAGGGGTACGTCGAAGACGTCTTGAAGCCACTTGGTAAATTGCAGAGGAATCGTGTGTCCCAGGTGCAGACTGCCGGTGCTTGGGCCACGACCGGTGTAGAGGAAGAAGGGCTCGCCGCGTTCGTATAGGTTCAGGATCCGGTCGAAGTCACGGTGGCTGAAGAACAGACCGCGTCGGAGCCAACGGTGCGGCTTGTGCCCAGTGACCTGCTCGAAACGCTCGAGGAGTTTTTGATCTATAATGGACGTGTTCCATTTTCTGCGGTGGTTAGTATGTTGCCAGCGATGCGCTTGCGGTAAACATACCGGGAGATAGCTTCGTAGTCAATCGAGGCAACATCGCCGTTCTCATCCCGGGCGCCTCGACAGACCAAGGATTGATGTCTTGTTCTTGATTAGATGTTGTCATATTCTCAGCCATTGTTCAGGTTGCAGGTGATACAAAGAGAAAGTAAAGTTGGTTTGTTTATGTAGGATGACAGTGACTCACCATATTTAATCTAGGGCTAAGCACTAGTCACGGGACATTGATCTTCAGTTAATTAAGAAGCGATAAGGTACACCATTTCTGCCCCCACTAAATTACAATAGCAGGAAAAATGAGCAGAAGATAAGAAAGAAAAAGAAAAAGCCAGTTCGTACGTGAACTCTGTCATTCAATTTTGCAACAATAATTTATTCGGGGTATCAAGTTTCAACGATCCAACAAAAGCATATCTCAAAACGTAACAAGATTAAGCGTCCTCGTCACCTTCTCCGATAGATACTTTCTTCAGAGAAAGATCCTTCTTCAATTCCTGAATGCGCCTGGCAAGCTTGTTCTTCAAAATCTGGTTTTGCATCTTCTCCCACTTAGCAGTCTCCGTTCGGATAAGCGCTTCTAACTCTGCAATTTCTTCGCGTTGCTGTTGCATTTGTTGCCGCTGTTCCAGCTGCTCCTCATCCAGTCCATCTTCAGGCACACCGCGTTCATCTCCATCAGACTCGTCGCTCTCGTCGCCCGACGACTCCGCTGCAGGTGTGGACGGCTTCGTTGCCATAGGCGTACCAGCCTGATAAACCCCACTGTCCACGGGAGTCGCAGCGGCAGCGGGAGGAGCTGCATTGTCATCGGCGGCCAGAGCAGCTTCCATCTCCGCAGCAAGGGCGTCCTCAAAGTCTTCAAAGATACCGGGGGCCTCTTCCATCCCCATATCCCATTCACCTTCGGCATCCTGCTCGTCATCGTACTCGTCATATTCTCCACTTTGTACGAGGCCCTCCGCCCGGTTCAGTGACGCGCTATCGACCAACTCGTAACGAGGGATGCCAAAAGCGGCTTCATCCTGTGCAATCAAATCTTCCACAGCCTTCTCGACCTGTTCGATCGTCCGAGTGCTAACTCGCTCACGGAATCGCCGCCTGCGCACCCATTGCAAAGGCGGTGTCAGACCATGAGGATACTGCAAAGTCTTATCATCGCCGTGTTCGACCTCGGGAGGGAGTGGGTACTCCAAAGCTTCTTTCTCGTTCGCAACCGGGCCCAGCACCAACAGCATCTGACAGATATCCCCCGACTTGTACCATCCACGGCGATCCCAACTCTTCATACCCTCAATAATACATGGTAGATCCACCAAAGCCGCAGCAAATTGCTTATCTCGAACTCTAAAAACGGCGCGTCGTCCTTCGCGTGTAAGCGGTTTGAATGAGAACTCTGAGCGATCAAATCGTCGTTCGGCGATAGCACGTCGTAGATATTCACATTCCTCTCCAGGGAGCATACGTAGGATAAATCCTTCCTCGATAGAGGGGTCGATTTCTGTATCTGACGCTTCCGAGTCGTATCCAACACCAACTGGCCGATTTGGAACCAGGCCCTTATTCTTAATCCGAATCGACTGCACGCCGGGTTTCTTGGAGGGGTTCAACTTCAAACGCTTGGGGCCTGCCGGTTTTTCTGGCGCGGGCCGCGACGCAGAAGGCTCACTGACGGCGGGTTCATCGGCTGGCCGCTTTTTCGATGGCTTTTTCTTCTTTGCCTTCTCTGGCTCTGCTTCTGTGGTTGGTTTGCGCGCGATTTTTAGCGTGAGTTTGCGTTGAGGGGTTTCTGATGGTGGAGGAGGAGCTGGCTTCTTGGGCGGTTCCTCTGGCGCCTTTTTCTTGCCGAAGGTGAGCTTCAGCGACGGGCGACCCTCAGACATGGTGGACGGTTCGTAGATTCAACGAGTGAAGCGGAGTGCTTGACCCCAAGCTGAAGCCGGGGGAATAGAATGAACGTATGAGTGTATGTGGTGTGAGGGATAAGAATGAGGACGTCTGGTTGATGTAAATTGTGGTTGCGGAGGAAGAGAACACAGGCCAAAAGGCGGAAAGGAAACGACGCGACCGCCGGAAGTCCGCTGACCTGAACTGTTTCGTTCCGCCTTTCCATCAACTTTCATTCCATCAACACCACCGAATTAAGAACGCAATTCTTCCCTCATACTCATCCTGCGTCATTATTCGTCTCTCTCCTATCTGACGAATCAACCTGTCTTTCCGCGAAACCCAGACTCTCAGCATCACTCAAATACACCACGGCACAACTCTCACTTTCCCTTCAACAAAGCAATCAATATGTCAGGTCCAAATCTACACAACGCTCTGCTCCGCCCGCCCATTATCCAGATTCTCCGTGCAGCCGGCTTCCACGCAACCCGTCCGTCAGTCCTAGACACCCTTGCCGACCTCACGGCCCGCTACGTGATGATCCTGGCCTCATCCGCAACCACGCACGCCGCCAACGCCCACCCAAACAACCCCGTCCCCACCCTGGAAGACATCTACCAAGCCCTACAAGACGCGGGCGCGTTGCGACCACAACTCCGCGAGTGGGAAGAAGACTGGCACGGTGACGAAGACATGCGAGGACTGGAAGGGTTTCTAGGATGGTTCACGGGCCCGGCGAATCGGGAAATTCGACGCATCGCGGGATTCCTACCGAGCGAGGGTGACGTTGTGGATACGGATTTCCTGGAGAAGGAAGATTATCTCACGGTGTTGAAGAAGAAGCACAGTAAGACGGGAGAGGAGTCGAGATATGCGGGAACTGTCCTGGGAAAGAATGCCGAGGAACATCCGATTGTGATTGAGGGCGGTGCGCCGAGCATCCAGGAATGGGGGTCGCAGGTGCGTTCGCGGGCGCCGTATTTCGCAGAGAGTGATTCTTCCGGGGTTAGCAGTGCGCCGAGCAACTTGTCGGACGGGGAGGGCATGGATGTGTGAAGCAGTGAGGCTTAAGGAGGATGTTTTTCCTCGTCTTCGAGGATTAACGTCTGCGAACAACGGACGGTACATGGTGGAAGGACCATTGTATTGGAGACTCTGTTGGAGTCTCTTTGCTCCTATACATACGCTCACGCTACTGTCTGGTAACAGACAGCAAGGACAAAAGGTCTGCTGGGCAACACTGTTGTCCTTGACCAAGGGAACGATTGGTCGCCGACTTGATCGACTGGGTATTCTTACAGCCCGTATTCACAGTCAACATATCTATGCACCCGGCCAATATTCTCGACATGAAGATAGACACACCGAGACCTCGAATACAGCGGTCCGCCGTGTCGACTTATATATCCTGCCCTGGATGCAATTCAAACAAGGGTATGAGATTGGGTCAACCAGCAGAGTGAAAGCGGGCCATATGAAGAGATATACCACTCAATTCGGCATGAAACCATTAGCTATAGTATCAATGAGCGAGGAGCAGACAAAGAAGCGCTACTCAAAGTTAGAAATAATCAAAGAATCACCAACCACCAAAGCTCCATTGTAGCAAACCTTCCGTAGCAAACAGTAAATAAAAGTCTTGGCCGCCATGACATCAACCACCCGAACCTCACTTAAACTCCATCTCCAACTCCCCAATCCCCAAACTACACCACCACCTACACCCACAGACACAATGGTCTACGCCTTCACCCTCCCAACAACCTCTCACCTCTCCTTCCAAACCCACCTATCCTCCACCACGCACCCCTCCCTCCCGCAAGCC